TGGCGGTGTCATCGGCGAAGAGCGCCAGATGGGTCTCCGGAGACCGGGGTATATCGTTGATATACAAACTGAATAGTAACGGGGAGAGGGCGGAGCCTTGCGGGACTCCGGCTGTGACGTGACGGGGCCGGGAACGCGTTCCCTCGACTCGATATCGGAACGAACGGTTCGACAAGTAGTCTCGTATGATGAGCACGAGTCTGTCTGGCACTCCCATGTTATACAGTTTGTATATCAAACCGTTGTGCCAGACTTTGTCGAACGCCTTCGCTATATCGAAGAAGAGGGCTCCTGTCGGAATGGGTTTCCGCCTGTTCAGCCCTAGTAAGATGTGCTCCGTGAGGCGGTGCACTTGATGGACGCACGAGTGTCTGGCGCGGAATCCAAACTGCTCGTCTATAAGAATTTTATTCGCGGATACGAAGTCCCAGAGGCGTTTACGAAGGAGCCGTTCGTATAGTTTGCCTATCGCCGGGAGGAGACTGATGGGGCGGTAACTCGCGGTTTCGTTCTTCGGTTTGCCCGGCTTGTGTATGCCGATAACGTCCGCTTCTTTCCACGCCGCGGGAAAGATGCAGTTCGTCATAGCAGCATTTAATATGGTGGCCAACATCGTTATCAGTTGGGCTGGTAACAGTTTAAGCGCGCGGTTGCGGATGCCGTCGGAGCCGGGAGCTTTCCGTGGTTGTAGGCTATCGATCGCCTCCTTGACCTCGGAAGTGGTAATGGGGGGTAACGCGTCCGAGGGCGGCAGGGAAGCTCTGCGCTCGACCTCCCTGTCGACGAACTCGGTGTGTTCGGGGTCCGCGTGTTGAGTGCTGGTGGTGCACTGCTCTTGCAGTGCATCGGCCAGCAACTCTGCCTTGTCATCGTCATCGTAAGCCGGTGATTGGCCTGAGGGGCGTACGAGAGGCGGCATAGTGGCTATAGTTTCGGACTTGAGGGTCCTAGCTAGTTGCCAGTATGCTTGGTGAGTGGGCGCGAGTTCTTCTAAATAACTATCCCAGTTTTCGTTTCGGGCGTCGCTTAAGCGGGATTTGACCTCCCGCTGTAAGCGACGCATCCGAGTCCGGTTTGAATCCGTGGGATATCGATCGTAGGCCCGGATTGCCGCGTTTCTAATTCTAACTAGGTCCCTAAGTTCGGGGGAAAGTCTGATGCGGTGGAAGCAGTCCTCCACATCGACTTGTTTCGAGGATCTTATGATCGCCGTCGAGACGTGATCAGTGAAGATGTTTATGGATTCGACGGTATCCTCGGGGGATGGAGTTGAATCCGGGCCGCAAGGGAGGATTGGTGGAGCGGTGTCAGCTAAGCACGTGCCCAGCTTCTTCCAATCCACCATGGTCCTCGTATCTGGTTCGCGGTTGAGTGGGCGACCGAGCTGCATGACGACAGGTCGGTGGTCTGAGTCGAGTTCTGACATTGCCTCGATGGAGCGTAAGCGCAGAGTTACGTTCCTCAGCAGTGCCAGATCTATTGTGCTCGGACGACGCGCGGCGTTGTACGGATAGCACGTGGGGGTCGGGGGGTTGAATATCTCGAATGTGAGGTCGTCTATGAACGCGTCGAGACGCCTACCGTTCACATTCGTGCGATGGCAGTTCCACCTAGTGTGGTGGCAATTTAAATCGCCTGCCAGAATGACCGCGTCCCCCATACCGAGCAGTGTCTCGAGGTCACTGCTCAGGAGGGGTTTGTCAGGGGGGAGATAGACGGATGCGATGACGATCGACTGGTGCTTAATCCCGCTTCTTTCTCTTAACCATTCACAATTTTCGCCCACACTTCCCGAATCCCCACTACACGTATTGCCCCCACCAACAATATTGCCACAAGGCAACTCGATAATTGTATTATTTTAACATATTAAATATTTAATTATAATAATAAAAAAATCTTTAAATTCTATATTTAGTTATAATTAAATTGTAATCATTTTATAGTGTTGGATTAATCGATAGCTGACTACAAAATATAAGGCTTAAAAAACCAATATCTAATACTATTTTCCCTACGTAATGGCCGGTAGCCTAAGCCTAAGCCTTATCAACAGCCATAACGTGAATTCCACTACCTAGCTTGACATATGAGGTGGCAGTATCAATTTAATTCTACAAAACCTTTTCACCAAGAAAGTGAGACTCTTTCGCGACAAAAATGACACCTAATTTTTTTTTTTTTACTGATTACTCTTAGAATAATTACACAAGTGATTACATTAAATGGCAAAAAATATATTCGCTAAGAACTAAATTAGTTAAGAACTGCGTTGTAGCTTGCAACTCCAGACAGTGGTGTGAATATTCGAAAAAACTGCTAAAACAAATCTTTCACGAATTCAAACTCCGGAAGAAGGTGAACGACCCCGTTATGTTTCCAATAGTTGGCGAGGTCTAAAATGTAACGGCAGAGGCAAGATCTGCCACAAGTCATATTCCTCCAAGCGGTTGTTATACCTCGATAGACGCGCGACGACACGAGATAAGCATACAATACTTTCTTGGAAATTCTTCGGTTACGTATTTGTCCGTTTAGTTCTAGTCTGTACGTAAAAATATATTAAAATACAAAAAAAACGATAATATTAACTTATCACCGTAAATGGCAGGTAAACATATAAGGCCCTTCTGAAGATCAGTTATCATCATCGCTCATAAACATTAGTATCTAATGCTAAGGGTATATCCGCTGCTTCTAAGGAGTCTTTTAAAATCTCGTTAGAAAAGAAAAATACATAATGGTTAATACGCTCATTTCCGAGTTCTATAGTACGTAGCAAAAAATGAGTTTTGGACCACGCAGTGGATGAACCCGGTTACTGGTGGTAGGACCTCTTGTGATTTCGCGCGGGTAGGTACCACCGCCCTGCCTATTTGTGCCGTGAAGCAGTAATGCGTTTCGGTTTGAAGGGTGGGGCAGCCGTTGGAACTATACTTGAGACCTTATTCAAATTCAAATTCAATTCAAAATCATTTATTTCAACTTGGATGTCATCAAAAACACACTTCCACCGGTTCCAAAAAAAGCCACAGTCCTGAGAAGAACCGGCGAAACAAACTCAGCGGGCTTTTTTTTTGGATTTTCTCAACTATTTTTTTTTTTTTTAGAATTGATATTTAAGGTGGCCGGCGCATTTACGTTGTGGATGTCTATGGGCTCCAGTAACCACTTAACACCAAGTGGGCTGTGAGCTCGTCCACCCATCTAAGCAATAAAAAAAAAAGATCAAATAAAGAAACGCGGAGATCCTTAGAATTAGCAATGAATTGTGCTATGGTGGCGAGGTTTCTTTATCACAGATTGATGAAAGAACTCACCGTCCATGTCCTGCTATTAAATTGCTACTGGACCCCATAAATATGTATTATCGTGACCCTTGTCACCATTAACGTTAAAACTGGAGGCATAAATTTAATCTCAATTGTGTAACGATAGTTTTTAGATCGCACGCCGAATTCTTCGTCGTAATCAAGGAGTTCGACGAGAACGGTGACCAGTGCTTGATAGTGCTAAGAGCACCGAGAGTGAATCTGGAGGATCCGACAAGACATGTTACCTACGGCCGACGGTAGCTTTGCTTTGCCCTGTCGCGGTCCGATAGGTAATTAGCAGCAGCCACGATAAGAGGGTTTTCGTGTTGCACCGCTTTGTCGAAGTGGCGTTCTGACACTTCCATAAGATACTTACGTATCGTTTATGAATAATTATAATATGGAGTGAAATGAAATGAAATGAATGAAGATGATTAATTTGAGACATTAATCAACTGGAATGAAATTAAATGAAATGAGATGATATGATATGAGATGAAATCTAATCTCAGTAAAATGGTGGTCATTTACTAAGATTTTTCAGTGGACTTTTTGGAGGATCCCGAGAAGTTACGTCCAGCGGCTTTGTTTCATTTTCCCACATTTGTGCACTTTCACAGATATTAAACGGTTAATAAACCACCATTATTACACATTTAAACCCGAAGAAACACTAAATAGACAAAATAAAACAAATCACACAACTTCACTCCTCGCGTTCCCGCCAAAAAGTCCACAATCGATGCATTTTTTTTAAGAGATTTTATGACCTGGTAACTGAGACCTTTAAGTCATGTCTTATTTTAATCTATATTCTTATTTTTATGAAAAATGATATTATGGAGTGAAATGAAATGAAAATGATTAATTTGAGACATTAATCAACTAGGATGAAATTAAATGAGATGATATGAGATGAAATCTAATCTCAGTAAAATGGTGGTCATTTACTAAGATTTTTCAGTGGACTTTTTGGAGGATCCCGAGAAGTTACGTCCAGCGGCTTTGTTTCATTTTCCCACATTTGTGCACTTTGACAGATATTAAACGGTTAATAAACCACCATTATTACACATTTAAATCCGAAGAAACACTAAATAGACAAAATAAAACAAATCACGCAACTTCACTCCTCGCGTTCCCGCCAAAAAGTCCTCACAATCGATGCATTTTTTTTTTAAGAGTTTTATGACCTGGTAACTAAGACCTTTAAGTCATGTCTTATTTTACTTTACATTCTTAATTTTATGAAAAATGATAATATGGAGTGAAATGAAATGAAGATGATTAATTTGAGACATTAATCAACTGGGATGAAATTTAATGAAATGAAATGATATGGGATGAAATATAATCGCAGTAAAATGATGGTCATTTACTGAGATTTTTTCAGTGGACTTTTTGGAGGATCCCGAGAAGTTACGTCCAGCGCCTTTGTTTCATTTTTCCACATTTGTGTACTTTCACAGATATTAACAGTTAATAAACCACCATTATTACACATTTAAACCCGAAGAAACACTAAATAGATAAAATAAAACAAATCACACAACTTCACTCTTCGCGTTCCCGCCAAAAAGTCCAGAATCGATGCAGAAATCATTTAAATGTAGATTAAGCAACACTCGTTAATGTCATTGTCTTAGATAGTATAAGTCATTGTTATCATTGCCAAAAAGTACTCTGTAGTGGTGTAAAAAGTAAATACAGACTTTTTATAGCATGTTCTTTATAAATTATTTATATAAACCACATTTTTATAAATACTAAAGCTATTAAAAGAACTAAAACAATGCAGCGACTACGTAAAGTACTTCCATCTTTGGGTAAATAATAGCTTACGGGTTATAAATTAGTGAACATTGAACTATCTATTACTCAATATACATACCATTTTTATTTTCTATTTTTACAATAATTAAATAAATACAGTTGATAGATACAATTCGAGTGGTATATATTTTTGTAAATAGCTCAAAAAAAATCCACCTATTTGTCTAGTTATTTAAACTTAAACAGTATATCGTTAATCTTCTTTTCTCCATGCGATTCTGTTTTCAAACAATCAATTCAATTAGATGTGTCCTAAATGTGTCCCAACTTTCAAATAACATCATCAAACAAATAACTTTTAAGTAGGATCTGAACCAGTCTCCCGTCTACTGTAGACAGTCACTGATGACTAGATGAACAAACCTGGATTGTAGATCTGTACTGCACCTTGTACCCTCATTGTATTTAGGCGTGAATGAAGCTATTAAAAAACTAATTTATTAGCTTCATTGCCTTTGATGTTTCTAAGATATCCAATTATAGCCTATTTAGTAATTTAAATAATGTAAAATTCTTTTAATAATTTGTAAGTATTTCATTTTATTTCAGCCGTAAAGCATCACAAACTACTTAAGTCTCATATAAGAAATCAACTTAGATGCCTTTCTACAATTGACCACCCCCCTGGAGCGGTAGAGAGATCTACATTCTCTATACCACAAGGCACCTTCGGCCAAGCAACCTGTCACACCCATCCGCACTTGATCCAACAGGGGCATCTTACTTGCGGGATCACACAAAAAGAATATGCAGAGAGGAGAGAAACTTTAATTAGCAGACTTGTGAGTGAAGCTCCAAATGTGCACAAAACACATATTGTAAGTTTTAAATTTTGTTTTAAAAACATAACTGGAATACGTAACAAACAACAATAACGAATAGTATATTTTTTTTAAATAAACTGTCATATAAAAGTGACTTAAGTTTATATAACTAGACTTATCTAAAACTTATTTTTACTATTGAAATCCAAATGGAATGCGTCAAAAGAAGTCCATGGCCAATTAGCACAAGCTGGATGTAACCGTGCGTGATTTATTGTATGTCACTGCCCAGCAAGCGAACTCCCATTTATAACTTTTAAATGATGCAGTTTCTATTGACTAGAAAGTTAGGGATTGAATCACTGATAGAACAGAATGAATAAGGAATATGGACACAGTCTAAAAACAGTGTTATTCAGAAAATATATGCTTGCTAATCTTTATGCACTTTATAGTAGCATTTTATTCTTAACATCTATCTGCATACATTTATCTATGTATTTTCTTTTAAAAACCTAATGAACCTAAAATAATAAACTCTTTTCAGGTAGTAATCCCAGCTGCCCGCAAACAATTCATGTCTGATAAAATACCTTATGTGTTTAGACAGAATTCGGACTTTTTCTATCTTACAGGATGTTTAGAACCTTCAGCTATACTAGTCATGATTAAGCCAGCACACAGTGACACTTTTAAGGTATTCGACTGAATTTCTTTCTTTACTCATTCACCACTTACTTTTTATTTAATCATAAATGTAATAAAGTGAACAAATCGAATCTGTTTAGATTTACTTCTAATAACTTCATGACTCACCTTGTGTTTACAACAGAAATTTATTAACAGATAACAAAAATCACTATGTGAACTCACAACTCCTTGTAAGATCCAAAATAGAAGTGTAATTATATTTTATAATGACTATCCCACTTGTCAAATCATGACAGAAACAAGCAAATAATATTACCTCCTTTGGGAATGTTTAACCCATGACGTTCCAGAGAGAAAATGTAGTGTACTTGTGACTCGGGTGTAAGTTTACAAAGGCCTACTTAGCTAAGTTCCTCTCTTTGGTACATCAGATCCTCTTATCATTAAGAATATTATTGGATAAGTATAATTTTCTATTTTATTTCAGAGTGTACTATTTGTTCACGAGAAAGACAGTCATGCAGAACTGTGGGAGGGTCCTCGAACTGGCTGCACGGCTGCCACACAGCTGTTTGCTGTGGACGAAGCTAGACCAGTTGACAGTTTTAGTGTATACATCAATAAGTATGTATGTTTAGTTTTTAAACTCTTATTAGAAATTCTGTTAATGATGTCCAGCATAGAATATTCATTTTGTCATGAACTCATTATGATAAAGTTGATGTCTTTCTACAGGTTAGCGGTATCATCCAAACCTTCCGTTCTGTGGTACCACAACGAAGCGCCTGCAAACCCTGAAATCCACAGCACGATACGCTCCGTGATACGTCCTGAAACACAGGTAATGACTGGCCGACAAGAGAAAGTGAGTGAAATTCTCCTTTTTTTTTTGTGCTATCTCCCAGTTTTTTAACGGATTTTATGACCTGGTTACTAAGAAGACCTTTAAGTCATGTCTTATTTTAATTTATTATATATTCTTATTTTTATGAAAAATGATAATATGGAGTGAAATGAAATGAAGATGATCAGTTTAAGACATTAATCAACTGGGATGAAATGAGATGAGATGATATGGAATGAAGTATAATCTCAGTAAAATAACGGTCTTTTACTGAGACTTTTTCAGTGAATATTTTGGAAGATCCCGAGAAGTTACGTTCAGCGGCTTTGTTTCATTTTCCCACATTTGTGCACTTTCACAGATATTGAACAGTTAATAAACCACCTTTATTACACATCTAAACCTGAAGAAACACAAAATAGACAAAATAAAACAATCACACAACTTCACTCCTATATCACAGTTTTTTTTTTTTTAGTTTATGGCCTGGTATCTAAACCTTTAGGTCATATCTCCCAGTATTGATCGATAAACACAGATTATCCCGATATGTTCAGGTGACGTTGGCAGATCCACAAAGAACGCTTCACTTCATGAGGGTGATCAAGTCTCCAGCCGAAGTGGAGCTGATGAAGGAGGTGTGCTACATTGGGTCACAGAGTGTTAACACAGCAATGGCCTGCACCAAACCCGGTCAGCACATTTATTTCTTACATACACTTACATTTAGAGTTTGCATCGTAAATATTTAATTGAAGGTTTTATTAGTGTTTATTATTCAAGAATTGACTTCAGTTAAAGTTTTTTTTTTTTTATGGGCAAACAAAACATCTTACTGTTTTAAAAAAAAAAAGAGCTTTATAACATAATATTTATGTATCAAATTGCATTGTATTGTATTGTGAGCGGAGCCCATAGACGTCTACAACGTAAATACCGCCACCCATCTTGAGACATGAGTTCTAAGGTCTCACTTGTAACAGTACAACGACTGTCCCGCCCTTCAGACCGAAACGCATTACTGCTTCACGGCAGAAATAGGCAGGGCCGTGGTACCTACCCGTGCGTACTCACAAGAGGTCCTACCATTAGTAATTACGCAAATTATAATTTTGCGGGTTTGATTTTTACTACACGGTGTTATTGCTTCACCGTTGAAGACAATCGTGAACATTTGTTCAGTACGTATTTCATTAGAAAAATTTGTACTTGCCAGCAGGGTTCGAACACCGGTGCATCGAATACACCGGTGTGCTTAGCGTAAAAGTTAGCTCATCTTTCTATGGAATGGAATCGTTTGCGTACGTTTGCCGCTAGGGGCGCTGTTCCAACTGCATACAAAGTTGGGTTAACTTTTACGCTATCGAAAACGTTAAAAAACTCGCACTAAGCACACAGACGTCTTATCCTTTAGGCCACACTCCAATTAAGCTACGACGACTCCAATTTTCGGATAAGAACCGATTGATGTCTTTGGACATAAGTACTACTTAATAAAGAAGCAGTCGACATACGAATAATGAATGATGACGTCATTTTGAGCAGAGTCTATTATTATTGTATTATATTAACTCGCTTTTGAAAATCGTCGTTGTCAAACCGTTGTTCGAATCCCGCAGGCGGGTACCAATTTTTCTAATGAAATACGTACTCAACAATTGTTCACGATTGACTTAAACGGTGAAGGAATAACATCGTGTAATAAAAATCAAACCCGCAAAATTATAATTTCCGTAATTGCTGGTGGTAAGACCTCTTGTGAGTCAGCACGGGTAGGTACCACCACCCTGCCTATTTCAGCTGTGAAGCAGTAAGCAATGCGTTTCAGTTTGAAGGGTGGGGCAGCCTTTGTAACTATACTTGAGACCTTTAGTACTTATATCTCGAGGTGGGTGGCGCATTTACGTTGTAGATGTCTATGGGCTCCAGTAACCACTTAACACCAGGTGGGCTGTGAGTTCGTCCACCCATCTAAGCAATAAAAAAAAGTTTTTTTTTTTTTCGTTAGGTATATCGGAGCACGCGGTGTGCTCGGTGCTGGAGCACAGCGGGCGCGTGAGTGGCGCGGAGCACAGTTCGTTCCCGGCCGTGGTCGCGGGGGCCGCCCGCGCCGCGCACATACACTACGTCGCCAACAACCAGCTGCTCAACCACGGGGACCTGCTGCTCGTCGACTCTGGTAACAATAATCAATTAAACATCAATACTTGTCTAGAAACCAGGCCATAAACTCAAAAAAAAACAACTTCCATACTTGTTGTTCGAAACCAATCTGGGTATTTGAATTGTTACCTCGGCAACACGGGTCGCGATTTGACGGTGCCTTCGCGATTTGACATCTATCACTTTGGCTTGCTTCTCGAACGGGACGGTACCCTCATGTGTGACGGTCTACGCTACGGTTTGCATTGTCACTAATCCTTATCAATTCCTGCCCTAAACCCTTCTCCCAAAGTGATACGGCGCGAGTCGACGAGGTCATCGGTTCCGGTAAGTGATTAGACGGTATTTTGTTAAAATACTACATACGGCGCCGCGGATCGCGGCACATGTTCAACGGGCACCTCGTGCTGGTTTCCGGAGCCCTAGGCTGCCACGAGAGCGCTGGGTTCGGATGGAACACTTGTAATATTAGAGGGACCAGTCCCCTAGTAGTCGAAATTCGACTATAATTAATTGAAATTCTATTTTCAAAGAGTATTATACTTCTTTAATCACAGATTTCGCCATGACTACTTCACTATAGACAAATACTAATAAAGACAAACAATATTTAATCTATTCTCAATTTGACCACAGACTATACGCAATAAGAAATGTTTGACAATAAACAAATAGTAAGCATGCCTGTGAGAAATGGGTACAAAGGTTTTGCTTCACGTATTATAATATATTGTTAACTGTACCAATGATTTGGAAGGAAACCACTTCCGAAGCCAAAAAGATTAATCAAAATGCACTTTAAAACAAATGTAAAAAAGAATTTGAGTGCTGGTAAGAAGAATCGGAAATAAACTCAGGGTTGGCTCTTTTCCATCTCTTTTCTTCATTTTTTCATCCACACAAGCGTTCACTGAACCATTCAATGGTGTTTGATTTTAACCTACAAAATTTTTAAAAAAAGGAGAGGAATAAATTATATTTTGAAATTATTTCCCGTTGCACGTAATGCACTACAATAAAAAGTCAACTGACGCGCGGAGTCTACCGTCTCAAAATAGAGTTTTGATTATCTGTCAGCCATTTTTGTGTTACATTGCGTGTTCCATATATCAGTGTTTTTAGACTCTGTAATTAATTTATCTTTTTTTTATCGCCCTTGTAGGCAGACGAGCTTACGACCCACCTGATGATGAGTGGTTACTGTCGCCCATGGACTTCAGCAACGCCAGAAGCAGAGCCAAGCCGCTGCCTAGAAATTTCGATTAGATCTCGATTTCCCTCGCGTCTTATCGGAAAATTCTTAAATCGCAGGCTGTCAGCGTTGGTTGTACAACTCTGACATCTCCCGCACGTGGCCGGTCTCCGGACTCTTCACGCGCCACCAGAGGATCCTGTACGAGCTGGTGCTCGCCGTGCAGGTAGCTTTACAACTTTTTTATTTTTGTATGGTCAAAAGCTCGCACCGCTATTATGCCTATTTCGGCCGCGAAGTAGTCTCAGAATCTAATTCTAAGGATGAGAAAATTTCGTGATACGAACCTGATGCTTGATAGCATTCAGATGATCTATAGTTGGATCTGTAAACTTTGGTTCCCGGTCGTACCAAGTCGCGTAACATATCAACCTAGAATGTGCGTTGAGCTTTTTTTTAAATTTTCAATTGTTTTATTAATTGATCATTTATAATGAAAATTAATATTAGAATAAATGTGATTGACCTTTGTTTGTGCTCGACTGACGTCATCGTTGGCTTTATGCATCAAACACTCTAGCCCATATTTTTATACACTCTGTGTACGTCTTAAATTTATGGAGGGTAGAGGTAAGGAGCACCATCTTGTATAGGGGACAAGTTGAAAAAGTGTCCATCTGTAAACAGCAAATTATAGTTCGAAAACTCACCGAATTAGCGCTAGTGTAGCAAGGAGAAATAGTATGAATATAGAAGTTTTAAACTGAGTGAAGTGTGCTGGATTGCAGTGAAGGCTATGTTCCGATCTACACTGCGGGCCCTGTTCAGTGCTCTCACTGCTATTCGTTACCTACCTTAAGGACTGACAGTATACAGTCGTAGTAACTTAAGGAATGATTGATGATACATGATGATGAATGGAAACGGAGGAATGATACATGATTTCATAAATCTTCACTTCAGCACTTTTACCGTGCATAACCTCATTTAAATAATACGGTTATTAAGGTATTATAGATTAAATTTCTTTACTTACTTTAATTACTTACTTTTAGCGATTAATTAAACTGACAATAACTTGAATATTCTATTTTCAAATATAAGTAAATTTAAACATGTTTTTTTTGCTGAAGTGAAAACACCGCCATGACAACGTCGATGACAGTATACTGTACTGCAAAGGAACGGCTTGGCAGTATACTAATTTGACGTCACACTTTAGAGTGCTCGCAGTGCAAATCGGAATATACCAGGAGTATAACAGCTTATGGCGCTGTTTTTAAAATCTTTCCACTTGCTACTATGGCGCCATCTTAATTTGCTGCCCTTCAGTGGACACTTTTTAATATACTGAGATGGTTCTCCTTACCTCTACCCTCCATACTTAAATGTTAGTTTTAGTTTTGGCTTAAATGTCTAGTGACCAGGCCATAAAATTCCAAAAAAATAATAATTAATTTTGGTTATAACCTCAATCTCAAACTCGTTTTGTAATAGAATGTTAAACTTAACACTTATGGAATAAGGCATTATTGGGCACGAGGCTTAATAATGAAAAAATGTTTTTTTTTACAGAAACGCTTAATAGAAATCCTGGGGGAGCACCGCCCCGCGCTGGACCAGCTGTTCGACAGCATGTGCCGGCTGCTGGGCACGCAGCTGCAGCAGGAGGGGATACTGCCCAAGAACATCGACGGGCACGAACTGATCTCGGTACTGTGGACTCTACTGTCTATATCTATAAGAACTAGTTGTGATTATGATAAACTTCGTGTAATTCGTTTTGGGAGAAAAATTACAAAATCATTCCAGTTTCGACCTTTTCGTGCTCTGTCCGGGGAGTTACTGCGGATTTAATAGGTTTTTCTATTTTTTTATTTCTTAGATGGGTAGACGAGATCACCGCTCACTTGGTGTTAAGTAGTTCCTGGAGCCCATAGACATCTACAACGTAAATGCGTCACCCACTTTGATATATGAGTTCTAAGGTCTCAGTATAGTTACAACGGCTGCCCCACCCTTCAAGCCGAAACGCATTACTGCTTCACAGCAGAAATAGGCAGGGCGGTGTTACCTACCCGTGCCGATTCACAAGAGGTCCTACCAGGATAGTCCTTTAGCCTTTTACCCCTCGATATCATAGACGGGCGCGAGAGCTTAAATCGTGTGTTGTAGAGTAGTGTCGCGTGTGTCCAGATGGCGTACAGCCTGTGTCCGCACCACGTGTCCCACCACCTGGGGCTGGACGTGCACGACGCGCCGCTGGTCCGCCGCGCCACGCCCGTGCTCACCAACATGATCGTCACTGTCGAGCCCGGTACGGTACTCTTTCTCTCTCTTCTTCTCTTCTCTCTTCTTTTCTCCTCTCCTCTCTTTTCTGTACCTACTGCTTAGTGACACACCCTTTTTTTGTTCCTATACCGCCCTGAATGTAGCCGTCGGTACAAACTTGCGCATGGTACAATCGGGCGGATATTTCATAACCAAGATTTTTTTTGTAATTAATAACGACACCAATGGAGAAGGAGATCCTTACGCGGAAGTGGCATTGGATTGGTCACATATTGAGGAAGCCCTGTACCCACCTATTAAAGAGAGCACTGACCTGGAAAGTGTCTGGCAAAAAGAAGAGAGGCAAATTTGAGTTAACTGTCACGCTATCGGGAACGTTAATAAACTCGCACTAAGCACACTAGTCTAAAAACGCGGGTATTCATTTTATCATTTTATCATATAAGGACTAGCGCCCCGCCCTCGCTTCGCTTCGGAAACATTAAAACACACATGAAACCAAAAAAATAAATAAAAAAAAGTAGCCTATGTTCATCAGGGACAATGTCGGCTTCTAATAGAAAAAGAATTTTTCAAATCGGTCCAGTAGTTTCGGAGCCTATTCGAAACAAACAAACAAACAAATCTTTCCTCTTTATAATATTAGTATAGACATGTGTGGATGAAGGGAATATGATAAAATTTGTTAATTTTGGGAAAACGGGCAACAAACTTTTGTTACTTGCACTCTTCTTTTTCTCCACCTTATTCCACTAGGTGGGGTCGGCACAACTAATTTTTCTCTTGCATTCTCTTCTATCAGCCGTCGTCTCAACACTCTCTCATAACGTCATTCACACACTCCATCCATGTCTTCTTCGGTCGACCTCTTCCCCCTCTACCTTGCACTACCGTTTCCATACATCTCCTAGTCACACGCATCTTCTCTCAACGCGTCACATGTCCATACCACGCTGACCGTCCGCTCTTTAATTTGTTGATTACCGAAGCTACTTTCACACATCCACTCATGTCTTCAGTTAAACCAGACGTAGCGTTTGGGAGTGGTAGCTGAAGGCCGGCGTCACTGTGCACAGGTATCTACATCCGGACGGACGACACCCGGGTGCCGGAGGAGTTCCGCGGCCTGGGTATCCGTATAGAAGACGACGTCCTCATCACGGACGGGGACCCGCTCGTGCTCACCGACTCCTGCGCCAAGGAGGTGCAGGATATAGAAGCCATAGTCGGGAAACAGGCTTACTGATGATCATTCAAACCAACTTAACGTAATTAACTAGTGCATATGTTTTGGACAAAATGCGACAAAAATATACAATTTAGCCTGTGAGAAAATGAGATAGAACATTATATTGCGAATTTGATACGTATTGTTTTACTAGTTTCATGTATGGATTAAAACACTTAATTAATTAATAAGTATTGTTTAATATGAGCAGCGTACACATAACCGAACACTGAGGAAAAAGACAAGAAGGAAGTTGAGTAAAGAGCGAGATAGCTACATTTTAGAATGACAGGTATCGAATGCGTTCAGGAATTGGTTTGATTTCTCACAACTAGTATTGTGACTTCGAACAGATTTTACTAAGAGTTCCTTTAATTTAGTTCCATAGTTGTAATATATGTGCATTTTACAACTCATTTATCAGAATGGGACAGATAGCGTGTATATAAAAACTTTTACCAGGACATTGATATTTTTCACACAATTATCCATACAACAAAGCGTGGCAGAGTAACTACCAACTCGTAAGTACTACGAGTAATTATTATAATAAAAAAAAAAAATAAGGAAAGTATTAGACCACATGATTGCCAAACTACACACGATCTACGTATTGGTATTTTCTATATTATTAATTAATTGATAACCTTATTTATGTTTTTTACTTATTCAAATTACGTAAATTTAATTTGTCGAATTACAAGAGTAATTCAATTACCAGTAAATCAACTTATAAGTAAAGGTTTTCCAAAAAGTTAGTGATAAATATTTATTTATTCATATAAAATTATTCAGAAACAATATAAAGATTTACGATATTTATTATTTATTCAAAATGCACTTCATCGCCCAAAGGTTACACCTTAAATATCTTCAATTAGTTTTTTCATGAGGAAATGTTGATGTTTTGACACATCTAAGATCAAAATTCCGATCCATTTTTTTTTATTAAACCATTTGTTTGTACAGAAGAAAGCATGTTTCACTTGTTAATTGTATATAACAATATAAAAACCCTATTGGTATAATTACGATGGAAAATGTCATCATCATTGAAACATTAAAAGACCATTTGCAAGGCAACAGTTTTTTTATTTTTTTTCAAATATTATTTTTTCCTACCTAATCTTTACTAGCCTAAGAAGCTATTCCAGCTACGCGCGGACGGGTAGGTGAACTCACGGGTTCAACCTGAGAGAATTTGCTAACACTAGCCCTAGCAATAAGCAGTGCTTCACTGAATCTATCGTCCATTTCAAACCCTTCATTATTGTGGATGCGAAAGCAACATACAGGAACTTTTAATCCGCTTGTAACTCCGAAATTACGAAATCGGAATGGTGGAATCGATTAACTTTTTTTTTCCTACCTAAGCTGAGAGCCTTGAGAGGCTATTTCAGCGTAACTTTAACTAGTAGGTGTGAGCTCACGGGGCTCAAACCTGACGACGTTGCTAATACTGGCCCTAGCAATAGCCGTGCTTCACAGAATCTACCACCGGATCGGAAACGAGACTCACTGAGAAGATATCGATTAATAAATAAAACACATTCACAATTAAATAAAAAAATAATTTTAATATCTTAAAACTAAAAATATGATTATTTTAATATATCGGCCGGTTTCTCTTCATCGTCTGAGAGAAGTATTCCAAGACAATTTAACATGAACAGTGAGTTATATCGACTTCACTAGACCCAGATAACAAATAGATATATGTAAATGGCCAATAAATAAAATTACTACATTTGTTAGTTGCTTAACTAGTATTTGTTAATTCAGGGAATGTACAGTAAAGGAACTTTTACATTTGTGTTGATATTAGATTTACAAAATACAATTTACTTGATAATTTTTTACCTCCAGAAAATAGGGATACATTTAAGAAGAGTACATGTACCCTACATGCAAATATTCGAGAATTTCTTGTAATAATAAGTTATTATTAAGTAAAGATAACTATATTTCATGACAGGAAAATTAAAAAAACTGTTTAATATATATTGTAATATTTCTATGGTTTTGGAAGACACAATAAATACAATTATCTTCAAAACAATGCTTGAATCCGAGCCCTATGTAATAAAAATGTTTCAAGTAACAAAATTATACTATTTTATTTATATTATATTATATTTATGTATATAAAAATGTATTACTGTTGGATTTCGGAAAGTATAATATTAGCTGAGGGTTGGGAAACAGACATTAAAATCGATATACTTTATTGAAACAATAATTAAATTTATTGAATATTATACATTAAATGAATGATATTCTTTTCGTTTATAATCAACCAAAAACATTTAGATCGAAATCGAAGGATCTAATTTTATTTGCAATTCATAAAAATCATATTTACGAGAGCTTGGCTTAACAATTCTGTCTATCTATAACATTCAAGTCTAGATAATATCAAGGCACATTCTGAACAGCCCTTAATAACATAGTGTATCATATTGCATAAATAAGGTTTTTCACATAACATACTACATATAAAATTTTAAATGCACTCTTTTTATGTGTTCGTCGTGTATGTCCGAAGAATTACAATAAAGTATAAAGTTGTACCTTGAGGTCATTGGATATTTAATGGCTTATTTTTAAGAGTTTGCAATTAACATTGTACGTATTTAATAAGGACGATATATCACCGTCCGCTTTACTTGTAAGTAGATCGTTAGCGCCTGTACAGACGCGTGCGAAAGTGCAAATCGTCATGAGATATTGATTGGTCATTGACCTATGATAGATATAGACAATCTTTACGGATTTATTCTTGACTCAATGGTGTAGGATAAAAATACTAAATACTAGATCGATGAATGGTTTCATTATTCAACCGGACAAGAGTAGACGGTAAAATGAGGAAGGTTCGCTGTGACAAACCGCACCTCTGTGGTCCAAGATCGTAACCAGTAAGTACAGTTTAGTCAAAATCTAACAAAAAAATGTAATCCGATAAACTCACTTTAGTTTTGTGGCCTTGAGAGTACTATACATAGATAAATAAAACATTAAATTTTCTTGACTACTCAGTACGTGAGGAATGTAAACATTCAGACCAATTTTTGCATATAATTCTAATTGATACCAAAATATTGCAATAATACGACAATATTGTGCGTAGCACAAGTACGTACCACCACTTTCTCCCGCGAAAAACCAGTGCCTTTCTTCGCACTATACAATTGAGATTTGGACCTCATATCTCTAGGTGTGTATCGACATCCATGTTTTGTTGTATCCGGGCTCTAACACTTAAAGCTGAACGCCCCGAGAGCTTGTTCACAGATTGACTTTTTTTTTTACCATAATAAGCTATTAAAAAAATTTCGACTTGGTTTTTTTTTGCATTTCTGTCGTACAACATTAGAAATACCAATTATATATTTTGATATATTTTACAAATCGTACATACAAATATTTATTATCATTCGAGTTATTGCAGTTTTAAAATGTATTTTTTTTAATTAAAATTTAAAGATAAAATAATCTACATTTAATTTTTTAAGATTAAGCTACTACCATGGCCTGTAAATATTGATTTGGCGGCTTTACAGTATTTAAAATCAATCACTTCTATGCTCCCACTCCCCCTGATAACTTATTTAACATCACAAAACTCTATAGATAAACTTTTGGAAATCCCCATATTTATTACCCAGAACATTACATGAAACTATTAAATTGAACTTGTGAGTGCTTAATTATTACAGTACTTAGTATTCATAAATGATAATTGTGTATTTAAAATGATATCCAAGCTTCAAAACTCTAAATTCCAACTCCGTTGTACCGGATACGACTTATAGACCTGTGCATACGTTATCTCTAGTTTTTAGTAAAATTTTATTAATGTCAAAGAAATCCTTTAAGTAATGTGCCAACATTACATTTTTTTTATAGTTAGAATTTATGATAATTGGGATTTATGTTTTGTTTTAATAAATCATTATTAGCTTTTGACTTTATAGGAGATGTTTACTTATCTAAAACTAAACAAAAATATTAATAGAATATCGATCGTAAGCTGCCAATACCTCCCAACTGACGTTTTTGCTGAAATTTTTATTATTTTGCGCCATATGTTAGCTTTTTTTTCTTCAAGATAGCAGTGGCTACTTTTATTTGTATTTTTGTAATAATATATTATTTAAAAAAATATAATTTGTTTTCTTTTTAAGAACTTACACCAATAAGAAATAACATTTAATTGATTATTTTACTTACAGCCCTAAATTGACGTGACGTGATTTGAATGTTTTCTTCTTAGCAATATAGAACTACTGTAAAAATAATAAGCTTGGATTTTGGGTTCATCAATACCATCCGTGTTTTGTTAACTTTTTATGGTCTCCTGTAAACTTCCCATCAGTGTGCTTAGTGCGAGATTCTTAACGTTTTCGATAGCGTAAAAGTTAAGCCAATTTAGTATGCAGTTGGGACAGCGCCCCTAGCGGCAAACGTACGCAAACGATCCTATTCCATACAAATATGAGCTAACTTTTACGCTATCGAGAACGTTAATAAACTCGCAATAAGCACATAGTGTCTTCTCGGAATAAAACTGTATAATCTCAAAACTTACTAATTTTACAGGAGAGTGTCTTAAAGGTTTAACATGTAATATTTATAATATTAATCAAATTTGCAATATTTGCAAAAAATAATTTTTACCATTTATATTATCTGTCTTTTAAAGTAAGATAAAATTATGTATAAAATTTTGTTAATAGTAGTCAAAACATGGGTAAACTAAAAAAATAATCTAAACCTAAACTACGCTCTTTTGACGGTATTTATGAGAAAAATACTGGTGATACCAATTTTTTTACGCATATTAACTCAATTTCGAATATTTTTGGACAATTGTACACTTTTAAGGCTTCGTCAAACAGAACGCGTAGTTAGTGCGCGTCAGAGCGTAAACTGACGCCGCGCTATGACGCCGAGATGTGTTGTACTCCTATATAGGGTAACATACTGTCAAACAGAGCCCCAGCGTTATAAGTACGCAACGCTCTGTCGCGGCGTTAGGACGCTTTGACGTCAGGCGTTGTAATTTTTTACAAATTTTATTTTAGCTTCCGAGTGAATGTGTATTAAAATTCTAGATAATGCCCGAAAAATTTATAGAAATAGAAAATACCCATGCTTATACAATGACACATCTGAATCACTCGACATCTTAATACTTTAAAATTTTCACACTGCTATCAAAATGCACTATGATTTGGCGAATGTTACGTTGCGTCAAGGAGCGTTGGACTCATCTAGCCAATTTGTGTGACATGAAAAGAGCGCGACGTTAAAACGCAGCGCTAAGTACGCGTTCTGTTTGACGAAGCCTTTAATACGAAAAGGCGATAGAGCAGTTAGGAGGTATTGGCAGCTTACGGCCGATATGTCAGCAGTAGTTGCAACGAGATGTCACTATAGTAGAATTACTTTGTTACGTCCTTACGGATCCATCAGATCCAATAACCTTCGCACTAGACGCCTTCAGCTCTAGGAGCAGGCTTAGGGACCTCGGTAACCGTACTCGTCGAACTCGACAAAGAGTTCGCCGTGCAACCTAACCCATGAATCAGCTCGCTGAGTTTCTCGCCGGATCTTCTCAGCGGGTCGCGATTCCGATCCGGTAGTAGATTCATTCGCGAAGNAAAAAAAAAAAAAAAAAAAAAAAAGAATTACTTTGTCCGTGCAGTTTGGGTCATAAAAAATCGGAGCGGAGTATTTCGCTCTCTCTTCCACTCACGAGCCTTATGGACGAGCATAGTGAAGCGCATTATTGTGGTCGGTAATGCGTTATCGATAGTATATTTAGTTTTGTCATTTTATGGGTTAGTGATAAAATGAAAGAAAAAATCGCTAATCGAACACTTACACCACATACCGCCGCAGCAAGTTAACGAGAACGGCAGAAATTAACACTTTGTAACTTTTGGGGATCTATTCTCATTTCAGTGAAAAGTTTTAACACAGTGTTGATAACAACATGTGCATATATTATTTTGAATAAATTCTGCCGTTTTGATACAAAACAAAGGAGTAGCCATTGTGTCACTAAAGCAATTCAGAGAACGAATGCATAAAAACGACTTTCTCTTCGACATAATGTACTATAATTTGCAGGTAGGTACAACAGATAACTGATAACATAACAATGTCTCACCACCCTTCGTATGCCGCCCCGCCGCCGTGTACCTGCTTTCGATGACTCATTTGTTTTTATCGATAATGGCGTTGCGCCCGCGCAACATGCTCACCGCCCTAGCCGGGTTATGTTTTATGACCCAAACTGCACGGACAAAATAATTCTACTATAGTCGCGACGAGAAGTGAAGTTCGGTGAGATGTGGGCCGCCGCGTCGCAGTTCACCAGTCGACGTCGTCGGGCAGCCCGCCGGGGTAGTCGCCCGTGAGGCACGCCGTGCAGTGCCCGCCCACGCCGTCCGGGGGCGTGCGCATGTTGTAGTGGATGGCGCTCACCAGACCCTCCACCGACAGGTACTCCAGACTGTCCGCGCCTGCAAACAATAACATGGTCAATGTCCACACTCCTGTTATATGGCTGGCCGGAGTCGGCGTTACTTTTTAATGGTTGTGGGCCTTCTTGTGCTCGCACGAGTAGGTACCACAACACTATCTATTTCGGTCGCGAAGTAATAACAAATTCCAGTTTGAAGGGTGGGGTAGCCGTTGTGACTATACTTGAGACCTTAGAACTTATATCTCAAGGTGGGTTGGCGCATTTACGTCGTAGATGTCTAGGGGTTCCAGTGACCACTTAACAGCAGGTGGGCTGCGAGCTCGTCCTCCCATCTAAGCAATTAAAAAAAAAGATACAATTTACGTTGTTGGTGTCTATGGGCTCAGGAAATCACTTAACACGAGCTGGGCCGTAAATTAGACACTCATCTAATCCATAAATAAAAAAATGCAGTCGATATGCGGTGTGATTGAGCGAGGAAGGTACGACAGTTGAATATTTGTGATAAAAAAATGACTACATAGGTATAGTAATTTTTCAATGGCCTGAGGAAGTGGGCATCACCGTAATATTAATATTGGGGAATCAGAAATATTTTTACGTTGCGCTAAAAAATAATCTTCTATCTCCATATATAAAAATGAATTGCTGTTCGTTAGTCTCGCTAAAACTCGAGAGCGGCTGGACCGATTTGGCTAATTTTGGTCTTGAATTATTCGTGGAAGTCCAGAGAAGGTTTAAAAAGTAGGTAACAATGAAAATGCTCGGAATTAAATAAAAATAACAATTTTGTTTTTCCTTTGACGTGTCCCCCGTCGGACGGATTCCTTTTGTTTGTTTTAAGTTTATTTTATACAAAAGTTTAGGTGTTTTATTTATCGATTGAGGCACTACGAAGTCTGCCGGGTCAGCTAGTTTTTAATAGAATTTTTGCTATTGTCCGACTTCGGAGTCAACTTAACTCCTCGGCGTTCTTCGAGCGCTATTGCAAGACCTAACTTTGTTTATAAAGAGATTACAGCACTGGCCATGTAAAGGTTTGTTCAAGACATAGTCACAATGGTCACTCACCAACGTGCTCCGCGAGCTTGAAGGAGTCCATTTTGTTGGCGATGAGTTCCTCGCGGGTTGGAATGTTGATGCCCATGTAGCACGGGTACTTCAGCGGCGGCGACGCTATTCTTATGTGGACCTGTACAAGCCGAAACAATTCGTGAACTTTAGTCTAAATTGCTGCTTCGCTACTGACACAGCTGCTAGTCTTATTTCACGGACCGTCAATGGTTAACGTACAAAACTGGAACAACATTTTTTACTTTTTGTTACATTTTGTGTTTTTTTTTAGGTTATAATGCGTGCCTAATAAATAACTTTGCACGGAAGATAAAAATTAGCAACTTTTACAGTCTATTTTGGATATTATAAAAGAGCAGTGCTTTGCAGAATCTACCACCGGATAGGAAACGCAACCCACTGAGAAGATCCGGCGAGAAACTCAGTGGGATGTGTCTATGGGTTAGTTTACTCGTCGAGCCCTTCGTCGCTAGCGACGGGTTCGACGAGAACGATGACCGATGCTTGAAAGAACCGTTAGTGGATCGGGAGGATCCGTAATGACAGGTCTCAATATGCCAATATGCGGGCGTGCCTCACCTCAGCGGCCCCCGCGTCTCTGAGCAACTTGATGATGGGTCCGATGGTGTTCCCCCGGACTATGGAGTCGTCTATGAGCACAATCCGTTTCCCCTTCACGTTCTCGGAGAGCGCGCCGAACTTCTTGGCGACGCCGAGCTGCCGCAGCCGGGTTGAGGGCTGAATGAACGTTCTCCCGACGTACCGGTTCTTGCACAGAACCTCCATGAACGGAATGCCGGACTGAAATATAAAAAAAATAATGAATGAACTAATCTATATATTAATACGTGAAGCAAAAACTTAGTACACCTTGTTGCGAAAATTGTGCGAGCGAAGGAGTATGTAATTTGCCACAGTTATAGAGGATATAGAGGAGTGCAGAATGCTAATAATTTCTTTAATCTTGCATAAAATAGGTACATATTGTATCAATAACAAAAACATTACACACACACATACATAAAAATATACTCTTTCTTTATTGTCAATTGTCAAACTTTTGTTATTGTTTAAAGTCTGTGGTCAAATTGAGAGTAGATTAATATTGTTTGTCTTTATTAATATTTATTTATAGGGTAGTTGTGGCGAAATCTGTGGTTATATTATAAAAGTATAATAGTGTTTGATAATAGAACCATAATAATGTTTAAAAAAAAAAAATTAAAAAAAAAATATAAAATTTCACCTTCTGTGGGACCACTAATCATTATTAATAACATCATTTATGTGAATCTTTTTTTTGGAATGTTACGGTAATATGCGAAAGAGATAATTACCCTGTCTATTGCTCTCTAAATATAGTATGATAATTTTTTTAACCTTTTGCACTCGAGAGGTCAGTATCGCTCATCACATGGTTTAAATTACAAACGACAAAAAGAACGATAAATACAGATAAGAAAGAAATATACAGGATTCAATCATCAAATAAAGTAACATAAATAGTTTACATGGTTCATGGAATTTCCGCGCGACTCACCTCTCGAGTGTAAAAGGTTAATACTGCAGATGGACCGAAGGCCTCGCGTCCTATCAAAATGGAATGACACGACCGTCTTAAGACGTGTAGTCCAAGTCTTAAATTATATTGTGTCCGGTGACCCGAAGGACACGATGTCGGCGTCCGCCGCGCTGTGAGTGCGCGTCTGTAGTGCCGGCGCACAGAGTGCGGGTGTACCTGTCGTGCGTAGCCGTGCGCGGCTGCCGTGCCGGACTCGGGCACGGAGGACACGATGTCGGCGTCCGCCGCGCTGTGAGTGCGCGTCTGTAGTGCCGGCGCACAGAGTGCGGGTGTACCTGTCGTGCGTAGCCGTGCGCGGCTGCCGTGCCGGACTCGGGCACGGAGGACACGATGTCGGCGTCCGCCGCGCTGTGAGTGCGCGTCTGTAGTGCCGGCGCACAGAGTGCGGGTGTACCTGTCGTGCGTAGCCGTGCGCGGCTGCCGTGCCGGACTCGGGCACGGAGGACACGATGTCGGCGTCCACTGCGCTCTCCCGGGCGAGCATGCGCCCGCACTGCATGCGCGCTGAGTACACCATCTGACCTACAACACAAAGTATATTAAGTATACTTAGAATACATACATACAACTACTACGATACTAATAGTAATTTCATAATAAAATAATTTTCTGCCTTTCACATAAAAAACAATTAAATAAAATTAAAAATAAATAAAAGACAAAAGCGCAGGTAAGCTCGAAAAGACAAAAGCGCAAAAAAACGTTATATTGTGTCTATGTATTATATTTGATAAAAGTTGAGTAGTACCTTCGAACATGCTGTCCGCTCTGGCGAAGTAGACGTATTCGAAGATGCAGAAGGCCTGGTGGTTCCCGGCGGGGCGCTCCACCACGTCCACGGTGCGGATCCCGTGGCTCGACATCTCCACGATCTCCCCGGGGAGCACCTCGCGGACGTAGCGGGCGCCTGCCACACACACACATCAGAAACATAGTGGCGGTGTATCCCGAATATACAATCAATATTACTCTTATAGCTTTACTAGCGACCCGACCTCGCTTCGCTTCAGAAACTGTAATTGATTATTCATTTTTTCTATTTAATGGATGTTATTATACATATAAACCTTCCTCTTCAATCACTCTGTCTATTAAAAAAACCGCATCAAAATCCATTGCGTAGTTTTACAGATTTAAGCATACATAGGGATAGAGAAAGCGACTTTGTTTTATACTATGTAGTGATAAAAACTTTACACTACTTTACTTTAAAACTTTTGAAAATTCAAATCTTTAACGACGTTACGTTATAATTTAAAAGTTTAAGAAACGAAAGAGACACAAAAAGAGAGAATGAGATAGAACACTTTAAAGTTTAACTTGTCTTGACATTTGGACTAAAATTTGTTTGATTATCGAAACTTCTAAATGCATTTAATATATACATAATATATTTTTAATCGACAAAATTAGCCAAAATAAAAAAAACAAATCTGAACTATACAGAAGGATCGCTTCGTTCAATTAACAATGTTTCTGGAGTAATTGAATGTGTTTCTCGACTAATTGAATTTTAGTGTGAATTACCAACTAGTACAATGAAATCTGATACTTTACCTATTGATAAGAATCCACATGACTCGGAGGAGACGACCCAACCCTCGGCTCTGTCGTCCACGCCATTCTTAGCGCAGCCGTTCATTAGAACTGTTCCATGTACAAAACAAATGATCAAAAAACGTTCAAAGACATTTTTCTGAAAATAATCTAAAAATCCAAAGCTTCCAAAACTCATTTCTACATTGCTTATGACGGCTTATGTAATAACAGTGTACAAAAAACAAACACCTAACTTGTAAGACCAAAAAAAAACATTATATAAAATGGCTATTATATAAATAACTGAAAACAAATCATGCAAGGTCATCCATCTAGCCCCAGATTAGGATTCTCTGTGTTACGTATACCAGAGACTGACATACATACTTATATACGTTTAAGTATATACATGTATAGATAATAAACACCCAGACGAAGAGCAAACAAATCTGTTCATCACACGAATATTTGTCCGATGTGGGAATCGAACCCACGACCCTCGGTGCAAAAGTCAGGGTCGCTAATATTGCACCACTGAGCCATTCAAGACATATGATATGATGGACAGTTAGTGTTCAGTAGAACGTAGAAAGCAATAATGATTCATTAAAAATAAAAAATAAACATTTAATTAATGATTTAAAAATATAAATGTATATCTATCCGAATATTATAAAGAGGAAAGATTTATTTGTTTGTTTGTATGGAATAGGCTCCGAAACTACTGAACCGATATGAAAAATTCTTTCACTGTTTGGAAGCTACACTATTCCCGAGTGACATAGGCTATAATCTTTTTTGAAGAAAATTAGGGATCCTTACTAAAACTTCAATAATGTAACCCAAGGTGTAAAATTAGGATCGAATTTTTTTTCATCCCATCATCAAAAGTCAGTCTTCGTTTTCGGAAGCGGTCTCCTAACACCCAGACCCCAGTATATATAGATGTGTGCTATAAACGCACACAGCTAAAAAATCATATGTATGTGCTCTTTACGTTCTGTAAAATCAAGGAAACATCCCCCCATATGACATGAAGTGGCGAATACAAGTTTTTTTTTTTCAGATCTCAGATCTTCCTTTCCCACATAAATGAAACATCACAGATAAACATAGTGATATAAGTAGACGCCAAAGAAGTGATATAATAATATCGAGAAGTGAAAAGATATTTGGTTTAAGTGACATTTATTAAAGTAATTAAAGGTGCGTATTATTTGGTATTAGCATCACCAGTTCGATGTTTTTAATTGAACTTCTATTAAGTTTACTCCATTGAAATAGCCGAAGAGGTTTTTTTTTGTTATGATATTGTTTTCCAAATTTTAACCTTTTAATAGCTCTTTTTTTTCTAGCTGTTCTAGTAACCTCGAGGGGTTATTCTAGGTTCGCCGAGCTAGTAGGTGAGCTCACGGGGCTCAAACCTGACGACTTTGCTAACACGAACCCTAGCAAGAGCAGTGCTACGCAGAATCTACCACCGGATCGGAAACGCGACCCACTGAGAAGATCCGGCGAGAAACTCAGTGAGCTGCGTCTGTGGGTTAATTAACTAGTCGAACCCGTTCGACGAAAACGATGACCGGTGCTTGAGGTACCTAAAAGCACCATTAGTAGATCGGGAGGATCCGTAATGACGTGAAATAGCTCCCCTGTAAATTTGCAAAAACGTCGCTTAAACCAAATAACCTTTGACCACTCGATTTTTTATTTATTTTTATTAACATCAAGACGTGCTTGGATGTGAACGTGCGCGAATTTAATGACATGCTACTGATGACGTTTTTGTTGCAACCTGTGTGCTTAGTGCTAGTTTCTTCACGTTGTCGATAGCGTAAAAGTTAACTCAATTTTGTATGCAGTTGGAACAGCGCCCCTAGCGGCAAACGTACGCAAGCGATCCCATTCCGTACAAATATGAGTTAACTTTGACGCTATCGAGAACGTTAAAAAACTCGCACTAAGCACACTGGTATTTGACCAGACCCAGACGGCAGCAAGTACAACGTTAATACGACCACCCCTTGAGACATGAGGTTGAAATGCCACGCGAGACTGCTTCGCGGCTTAAAGGGGCACGGTACCCTCGATTATGTAACTAATGTAATGTGATATGATGTGATATGATTATGTAAATAATGAAAATGATTCATGCATTACCCGCTTCATGCTGCGCCGATGACTTTTTGTAGATATCTGTAAAAGAAGTTTTGAAATTTTCATTTGCATCCACAACACCCATGTACAGTTGCCTGCAAAAGTGCACGGATAATGCAACATCGCAAATAGTCGCATTGAGCCATAGTTAACGCAATTATTAATTAATAGGGTATTACTACAAATAATTAGTGATAGTATCATTGAATTTGTTATGAAATATTTTTATAACCTGACTTATTTTTAAACGGAGATTAGATAAAGCTTTATGTCAGCTCGTTGTTTACTACTACGCATATAATAAATACAATCACCAACGTGATATAGTTTATTTTTATAGACTTGGTTTTCTAATCAGAGGATTTTAAAACCTAACCCCCATGCAATTTGGCTGATAATCCTATGTACTCTGAAAATTATTAGTTCGTATTAACCTATTAACTCGGAACAGATCAGGACTGATTTATTAGTAATCCTCATTATAACCTACATCAATATATTTTTTTACTTTTTCTATTTACGAACCGTTACCTTAATCCAGGTAATCCAGGCCATTTTACTATGGTAATATTATGTACTTGATACATATTAATTACATTAATATTATTACATAGCATAACTTATATTGGGCATTCTCAAATTTAAAACATTAGTTGACATTAATTAACAGACTTCAAAAAAGGAGGAGGTTCTCATGTTGACTGTATTTTTTTTTTAATGTTTGTTACCTCATAACTTTTGACTAGGTGAATCGACTTTGATGATTCGTTTTTTTTTTATTAGAAAGTTGACGGTTCCCGTGTCGTCCCATTTCAATTTAGACCAGTTCTAATAATGGTATCCACGAGAAAACCATATAAGTCTTAAATTTGCATTAAATACGTGCGCGACAAATAGATGAATAACTCAATATCACGAGAACCGATTTCGATGATTATTGTTTTTAGTGTATATTAATTTGTTTTGGAATATCTTTTTTTTCTATTTGAAGTCGGTTTTTGTTAAAGCATGTCTATTTACAATTACTATTCAGAAACACTCAACTAATGTTGTCTACCTCACGAAAAACTTCTGTTATAAATCTTTAAACATATTCATTACTCACATTAACTTAAAATACTTACAAATTCCACTTTAGGAAAAGACATGAAAAATTTTTTTTATAAAATCAACCAACACATGCAAATTTCAATATCATGCAACACCAGAAGCTCAATGTGTCAGACCTTGTTTGTCATATTGATATTATTTTTAAGTACTATCTACTTTAATTAACGCAACATTGCAATCTACATGTGATCTTGAACTTAACTCTCGCATATAACCCGTGTACAAGTTTATCTAATGTTTATGTAAAGACCTATATTCTACAAATACAACTATTTAATGTTTTCTGTGGGGTATTTCAAACGATACTGTAAATAGTTTTAAAAGTCGTCGTGGCCTAAAGGATAATATGTCCGGTGTATTCGTGTCTAGCGATGCACCGGTGTTCGAATCCCGCAGGCGGGTACCAATTTTTCTAATGAAATACGTACTTAACAAATGTTCACGATTGACTTCTGCGGTGTAGGAATAAGAACAACAATAATCAAAACCGCAAAATTATAATTTACGTAATTACTGGTAGGACCTCTTGTGAGTCCGCACGGGTAGGTACCACCGCCCCGCCTATTTCTGCCGTGAAGCAGTAATGCGTTTCGGTTTGAGGGGCGGGGCAGCCGTTGTAACTATACTGAGACCTTAAAACTCATATTTTAAGGTGGGTGGCGGCATTTACGTTGTAGATGTCTATAGGCTCCAGTAACCACTTAACACCAGGTGGGCCGTGAGCCCGTCCACCCACTTAATCAATAAAAAAAAACGTTGTTGGAAACGTTTTTTTTGCGAAATCGCACCTCATCTGTGCGATAACTCAGTTACTAACGTAATTAGGAGGGTACTTTATAAAAGATCATATTTCATATTGTACTTACACGAGGATCCGAGAGGTAAAATCTTCCCGAGACACAGCGGCCGGTTCCCGTAAGGGTCGCGGACCGCATAGATCTTGTCTTTCAGCATTATCACTAACGAATAACTTAAAGGAGCCAGCCTAAAAAGAAATATAGTAATAATCATGAGCTAAGCCGTGTTTATTTTTAATTGTCTAATAGAAAGCTAATTATCAATACGATTGGTAAAAACAATGTTACAGTCTCGGATAGAGTTAGTTTTAAGAACTTTAATTTCTTATAGACAAAAAGCAGACTACACTGACGTCATTCTGTATATAAAAAAAAATCAGAATTTTATTAGCCGGTACAAGTTGTTTGGACATTTCTTGCTAGGGCTAGTTCGCCAGGCTGAGCCCCGTGAGCTCTCCTACTCGCTAGGTTAATCTAGTATAATCCCTCGAGATTACTCGTAGTGGAATAAGTAGGATATAAAATAAAACTGGACATATGTATATATTTAATTCTATAGGGCTACATATTTTTCATCGCCGCCCACAAATTTAGGTGAATTTACATGAAATTACACTTGAGTTTTTTTGTTTATTACTAAGCTGCTGTATTTGCTACGAATGCTCAGTATAGTTAGTCGCACAATGCCGGGCTATGGAACCTAAAAAGTGGACCATATACCCACCCTCAAATACAATCCTTGTAGTGTTAAGAACTTATGTGGTCATAAACATCTTACTGATTAGTATAGTTCAATGTGGGTGACAGCTTTTTATTTTATTGCTTGCTAGGTGGACGAGCTCACAGCCCACCTGGTGTTAAGTGGTTACTGGAGCCCATAGACATCCAAAACGTAAATGCGCCACCCACCTTAAGATCTAAGGTCTCAAGTATAGTATATAGATCTGGGTGTCTGGTAACCAGGGTGTGTGTACGGGGCTCACCTCATGAGATGGTTGATCCTGGCGGGCCAGTCGGGGCCGTCGCTCTCCCCCTCGGGGGGATTGAGGCACAGCGCCTGCGTGATCAGCTCGGAGTCCGAGTGCGTGGACAAACCTACTCCTCTGCCAAGGACCTGTAAAGAGCGCGAGATGTAATCAATTTGTTTAGGTGTGCTTGAAAATTTCGGTCACTCATGGATTTAGTCTTTATTAAATTACAGATTATATGAACATACGGCATGTGACTAGATTTATGGAAATGGTAGTACAAGGTAGAGGGGGAAGAGGTCGACCGAAAAAACATGAATGGAGTGTGTGAATGACGCGATGAGAGAGAGAGAGAGAGAGAGAAGTGAATATTGAGATGACGGCTGATAGAAGAGAATGGAATAGAAAAATTCGCTGTGCCGACCCCACCTAGTGGGATAAGGTGGAGAAGAAAGAATAAGAAGATAAGCTCACAGCCTACCCTATATTAAGTGGATACTGCAAATCATTTACATCAAACGTGAATGTCACCACGCTTTTTTTATTTTTTTTATTGCTTTGATGGGTGGAAGAGCTCACAGCCCACCTGGTGTTAAGTGGTTACTGGAGCCTATAGACATCTGCAACGTAAATGCGCCACCCACCTTGAGGTATAAGTTCTAAGGTCTCAGTATAGTTACAACGGCTGCCCCACCCTTCAAACCGAAACGCATTACTGCTTCACGGCAGAAATAGGCGGGGCGGTGGTACCTACCCGTACGGACTCACAAGAGGTCCTACCACCAGTAAAAACCATATAAGCACATTCTAATAGTAATTATCTCCAATTACATTGGTTTACTGATTGGGTACTTATTAACGTAATCTCCAAAAATGAATATTCATTTATAATAAAGACATTATTGAGCTAATTATATATGTGATAAAATAAAAAAGATAAATGCGTGGTAAGCGGATGTTAAATTTGGAATGAGTAAAAAAAACTTTTTTTTTACTTTTATCACTTCGTTTGGCGCGTTTGAAAAAAGAGATTAGATTAAAGAGAAGAAGATTTGATTTGATTTTATTAATTAAGCAAATTTATTTTTGTGTTTTCAAAATTTTGTGAATATTTTGGAAATTAAAAAGTTATAAAAAACAATACTTTTTTCCCTATCACCTCAATACCCTTACTTCATCTTTCTTTAAAAATCTGTAATGTCAGCATATTGTTAAGACAGGTTGGTTTCATTCCCGAACCTGGGGTCTGAATGGTAAACAGTCGATGTCGTCCTAAACACGTCATTACGGATCCTCCCGATCCACTAACGGTGCTTTTAGGTACCACAAGCACCGGACATCGTTCTCGTCGAACCCGTCGCTTGCGACGAAGGGCTCGACGAGTAAATTAACCCACAGACACAGCCCACTGAGTTTCTTGGCGGATCTTCTCAGTGGGTCGCGTTTCCGATCCGGTGGTAGATTCTGCAAATGCTCTTGCTACGGCTACTGTTAAAACGTCGTCAGGTTTGAGCGAATCTAGTATAACCTCTAGTTACTAGAATAGGTAGGGAAAAAAACAGATAATGGCACGTTACCATCCTCCTGAGGCTACTGCAGTTGACCAGCTCCCCGTTATGTGCCACCGCGAGGGCGCCATGGGCCGTGTGCACCACGAACGGCTGGCAGTTCACCTCCTCGGAGGCCGCCGACGTGGAGTACCTGTAACAATATTCAATACCAAACGATGAAGGTTTGAAGGGTGGGACAGCCGTTGTAACTATACTTGAGACCTTAGAACTTATATCTCAAGATGGGTGGCGCATTTACCTTGTGAATGTCTATGGGCTCCAGTAACCACTTAACACCAGGTGGGCTGTAACCTCGTCCACCCATCTAAGCCATAAAAATAAATAAATAAAAAGATGATGAAAACGTGATAATTACTTATTGCTCCTCTTACAGCGACTTGACTGTGCCTTGATATTGCTAAGGTCCATGAGCGACGGTAACCACTCACTATCAGCAGGGTCGTCTACAAGAGTCTACAAGGGCAATAAAAAAATAGTATATAGTATACAGTTTATAGTATACTGGCTGTACCCGTCCGCTTCGCTGGGCATTTAAAATTAACATTATTATTTCTCACCCCCACAAAGATTCTCATCATTAACGCCCCCGCAACTGATGTAGGGAGTCCAACACTCATACAACTATCAGCCCATCCATTAAGTACATGTATTTTCTACATGGATACCAAGTTTCAAGTCAATCGGATGCATGGTTCAGTAGTTATAGCGGAACATCAGTAAAAACCACTGTAGATTTATACATTAGTATAGATTCAACAAAACCTCCGTGAGTTCCGGTCAGAATATCTTAAGATGTGCAATCGCATTTCTCAAGATTTCTATGAATTTCGAAATCAACTTAACACGCGACAAACATTAAGCTCGTCCGCCCTAAATCAAAAGAAAAATAAACATAACAAGTAGTTTAAAAAATCGTTAAAATTTAAATCTAAACAATGTTTATAATTTCAAATGTATGTAGCTAGCTCACCAGAAGAAGGTTAGTTTTAATTCGATTGCAATTGTCTACCGGAACAGATACAGATGTAATATATAACAGATAATCTCTACATTATGCTCTAAAAGATTAAATAATATGAGGTGATCACGACCCTCAGCATTGAGGAAACGAGGAGGAGAGATTAAACAAAGCCAGAAACTTGCCTGGTATGGCCGATCCCAAGGTTGCCTTTTAGATTCTTCATGGCCTCATCGTTGAATATATTGTTAATGAGCCCCATTCCTTTGTGCGAGTTGAACGTGCGGGCGCTCACACCCTCTGACGTCACTATGCCCGCAGATTCTTGTCCTCTAAAAGAAAAACCATCAAAAATAACGATAACTACCCTTGTACTAAGTTTGATGACATTCGAAAGCCGACAAACGTATGGCCCACATAATGCCTTTTTTTTATTGCTTAGATGGGTGGACGAGCTCACAGCCCACCCGGTGTTAAGTGGTTACTAAAGCCCATAGACATCGTCACACACAGACAACGTCAATGCGCCACCCACCTTGAAATACCTAGTCAGGTCATAAATTCTGTCACATGTTTAATGTAAAATAATTGAAACAAGTTTATTCATTATGTAACCATTCATATACCAAAATGAACTTAACAAAACATAGATTCTTATGACACTAAAGTTTATTCAAAATGACCTCCGTGATTTTGAATACAGGCCTTCAATCTGCGCGGCCAGTCGTCTATCGCAGCACGAACGAGGTCCATGTCAATATCGGCGGCTGCCTTAATCAAGGATGTCTTGAGTGACTCCAAATTGGGATGAGGCTTTGAGCACGCCTTTTCCTCCAAGTGTTGCCATATCTTGTAATCTAACGGATTCAAATCTGGACTGGAGGAGGGCCAGTCTTCGTGCCGGATGAAGTCGATTTCACGCGCCGCCAGCCAGTCTTGTGTGCTCTTCGCTCTATGAGCTGGCGCCGAATCTTGTTGGAATACCCAGTGCCTGTTATTGAACATGGTATGAGAAACAGGTTCCACAAGGTTCGTCAGGACTGTATTTTGATACACAACTGCATTCGTTTTTACACCTTTCTCACAAAAATGTACCTCTGTTAAGCCCCAATAAGAAACTCCCAACCATACCATGAGCGAGGATGGAAAATGACCTCGTTGGACACGCGGAATACGGTTGCTCGCTTCTTCACTACTGTGTGCGTACACCTTATCATTTTGTTTGTTGTAGCTCTCTTCTACGGTAAAAATTTTTTCATCCGAAAAAAGAATTTCCCGATATTTTTTTCCCGCGTACCGCTTCAACAAAGCGCGGCATCTCTTCAGTCTCAGGTCCATTAGACGAGCATTCAAACGATGTCCTGTTTTTCTTCGATATGCCCGAAGCCCTAAGTCTTCATTTAACACCCTTTTCACCGTGGTTCTGCTTAACCCCATCTGAAGGGCCAACAGTTTCTGCTTACGTTTGGGATTTCTTTGAATTCGCGCCTTCACAGCTTTTATCACTGCTGGAGTCTTAACAGACCGAGGGCGACCACTTCTTGACCTGTCATCTACACTAGAATCTTCATTGTATCGTTTGATGGTACGATAAACGAATCTTTTGGTTATATTCAAATTTTTCAGTATGTTAAAAAATTGGATTGGCGCGTAACCGGAACGATGCAACGCAATAACTGCAACACGGTCTTCTTTAAGCGTCCACTTCATATTTAAAAATGAGTAAAATTCTAAAAGTATACATTTTTATTTTCATGAACAATTCGAAATTCGAATTCAATAAACTTTTTTGTGGCCAGCATTCTAAAAGAAAAGTTTTTACTGTGTGACAATACTTATGACCTGACTAGTTATAAGTTCTAAGATCTCAGTATAGGTACAACGGCTGCCCCACCCTTCAGACCGAAATGCATTACTGCTTCAAGGCAGAAATAGACAGGTCGGTGGTACCCACCCGCGCGAACTCACAAAAGGTCCTACCACCAGTAATTACGCCTCCGTATTTATAACTTCTAAAACTCTTTAGATTTAAAAATATTTTTCTTTGACAGATGGACGGAGATGTCTGTCATTCAGAAAAAAAGTTCAAATTTCCATAATTCAAGAAAACTGTTTAAAATAATAATTTAAAAAGGAGATAAAAAGGCTTTAAATTTTGTTTTCTTATTATTGTACAGAAAACGCAATTGAGTATTTTATTATTATTCAATCATTCTAGAATATTCCATATCATTACATCATTTATTATCTATACCAATATTATAAAGCTGAAGAGTTTGTTTGTTTGAACGCGCTAATCTCTGGAACTACTGGTCCGATTTGAAAAATTCTTTCAGTGTTAGATAGCCCATTTATTGAGGAAGGCTATAGGCTATATAACGCTAAAATAATGTATGACAGAATTCTTCCCCTTTAAAAGATCTAAAAAAAAATCCCGACAGCATATGTATATATGTTAAGGTTGGCTCACTATAACGTTTTTTATGCTAACCAAATTTGTTCTAAAATAAAGCATTACTTGTGAACTATTCCAAGCGGACGAAGTCGCGGGCAAAAGCTAGTTATATATAATTCTATAGAGAACACTAGATAGACTAATATTACATTTAAAACTAATATTATCAATATCAAACAGGTAAATTATTAGCTGAACAATGCTAATATTATTTTAGAACAATACATTCAATTCTAGCCCGAACAGCAGACCCGATATTAAACTCTACAACTTAATATACATAAAAAACAAACATTCACTGTGTCGTACGTTCCGACAAAAGCCCCAAACAGTTTCACAGAAGTCATGTCGCTTAAAACTGTTTACAATTTCAATATGAATAAAGGACGCCTTTATAAACACGTCCTGTGTTTATATTCAAATACTGGGAATCGTATCAAATAAAACAAAATGTTACAGACACGCTTAATAGTTTTAAAGGCTACAAAACCGTGCATTGTACTCGCAATGCGAAATGATATACGTCGATTCGTTTAAATCATAAGCGATAGCGTTTTCGGGGCACATACCACGTTTTAGTGAAGCTGGAGTGGCCTCCGGACCAGAAAAGAAAACTATCACTAAGTTATGATGATAAGGTTCGCTGTTACCGAAATATATTGTACTATTAACAGATTATTATTAACGTCATTAATATATTATCAACAACGGGTAGTGGATAGACATGGTCACGTGGCGTGCCTTGAGAGAGGCCTATGTCGAACGGTGTACTTGATCAATCGTTATTGGAAATACTCACTTTTTTCCCCAACCTATTCGCCTAAGAGTAGCCGCCTAATTGGCTATTCGCCAGATTCGCGCGGACGGGTTGATGGGCTCATCCTAATAGATATTGCTAACACTAGCCCTATAAATCGACTAAGAATCTAATCACCTGATCGGGACTCGCCAGCCGCTGAAAAGATCCGGTGCTTGGAGATTCGCACCGTATATCCGAAACGGTTTTCAACATTCCGTATCAGGCCTGTTTGGAAACAAGGTGTACTCGAATGTACATCTTACCTGTGCTGCAATGCCACCAGTCCCAAACATATGACTTGCGGTATGTCGACCTGAGTCGGCCATTTTCCTGTGCCTATCGCCCCAAAAACTCCACATTCGTGTGTTAATCCTGAAAACAATAGACCAATTAAATAAGGGAGGCCACGACCCTGAGCATTGAGGATTATCGTCGTAAGGAGGACGAGCCTTGCAAATGAAGGTACGGCTACGATATCACCAGCAGTCCGCAATGGTAAATATACACTAAGAGCCCTTGATTCGTCGTTGATGTTGTTTTAAGTGACACCCTTTGCAAGCGAACCGCAGTTCTGAGAAAATGCCCAATGTACGTTGTAGCTCTAACTCAAACGACATACACATACATACGTATATCGTAAAGGAAATTAAACGGTTTATTTTTTACATTTTCACCAATTACTAAAAACTACTGTATATAAGTATACTAGCGACCCGCCCTTGCTTCGCTTCGGAAACTGTAATTATTATTGATTTCTCCACAATTTTATGGTTGTTATTATACATATAAACCTTCCTCTTCAATCACTCTATCTATTAAAAAAACCGCATCAAAATCCGTTGCGTAGTTTTAAAGATTTAAGCATACATAGGGATATAGGGACAGAGAAAGCGACTTTGTTTTATACTATGTAGTGATATCAATGGACCAGAGGAGTGGCCCGGGAGAGAATAAAAGTACTGACTAAAAGCTTCTACCCAGCTAAACCACCATTTCTTTGTGAGCAAGTCTCTTGACTTACGCCATTTATCGATACTCAAATAACTTCCAATTACAGTTAAGGAATAGTTTTTTTTTGTCTAGGATTTATACAGAACGCCTAGTTACCTAAATTGGTACACAAGCCAACTAGCTAGCTAACTCGGTCTGCGTATCCAGCTCGTTACCAGTAACTAACGTTATACCTACTACTGACAATTTATTCCGTGCAATACTTAATAAACATTAGATTATTCTAGACTGTCTCCGTCTAACATAGATTTAGCGTTATATATATTTAAAGACGAGTCGGCATAACATCGCGAGGACCAAACTAATGGATGGAGGTGGTCACGACCTCCATACATTAGGAGCACGACTGAAGAAAGGAAGATTATTCTAGGCGAAGATCGTCTCGCGGGTAAATGTCTGAATGTAGTTAAAAATTTATCTTGTACTTATGTTGTTGTTATATATTTGGACACTTTTATATTCAACCGCCTTCAAATAAAATAGGAGGTTTTCAATTCGAATGTTTTATTTTGTGTTACCTCCGAACTTTTATCGGGATGAATTTAAAATTAAAATCTTGTATTATTGAAGTCAGTCTTTCGGGACCAATCGCGGTCTATAGAAATAAGCGCTAGACTAAACGTAAAAGAGTGAGCAAATTATCAATCAGAAAGGTACAGAAAAAAACAAAAGCAAAAAACGATGAAACTTAGCCTTACAAATGAAGTTCTAAGTACATTTTTAATTGATAAATCGTAATAATGACAATTTATTTACGTTATCGAATATGATAATCATCAATCCTCTAAGTTACATCCAAACTATTCATCCGGTCTTTGCAAACCAGTTTAAAGCCGATGAAAATCATCTATGACGGTATCGCAATACAGGGAGCAGATAGTTACCTGATTCAACAGCGCCTCTTCCGTATCGTTTGCTCTTAATCTTGACCTCGGGCTGCGTCCTGTCACAATGACAACCGGAGTCGTCAGCCCCGAGCCTCTTCATCGCTTCGCTGTTCATCCTCTGTTCATTTTGACATGGAGATGGTCCTGCGGGACCGTCCATGTTACACCTGTCCACAAGATAACTTTATAATATATATTTAGTACAAAATACTAGCTGACCCGGCAGACTTCTTAGTGCCGAATCAATAAATAAAAGACCTAAACTTTTGTATAAAATAAACTTAAGACAAAGAAAAGGAAACCGTCCTACGGGTGGGACACATCAAAGGAAAAACAAAATTGTTATTTTTATTTAATTCCGAGCATTTTCATATTTATCTACCTTTTAAACCTTCTCTGGATTTCCACAAATAATTCAAGATCAAAATTAGCCAAATCGGTCCAGCCGTTCTCGAGTTTTAGCGAGACTAACGAACAACAATTCATTTATATATATAGATTTTTACTGGTGGTAGGACCTGTTGTGAGTCCGCACGGGTAGGTACCACCACCCAGCCTATTTCGGCCGTGAAGCAGTAATGTGTTTCGGTCTGAAGGGCGGGGCAGCCGTTGTAACTATACTGAGAGCTTAGAACTTACATCTCAAGGTAGGTGGCCCATTTACGTCGCAGATGTCTATGTGCTCCAGTAGCCACTTAACACCAGGTGGGCTGTAAGATCGTCCACCCATCTAAGCAATAAAAAAAAATGCGCCACCCACCTTGAGATATAAGATCTAAGGTCTCAAGTATAGGTCTCAAATATAGGGAAAACAACTATTAGTCTATACATTAATAATTCAGAGGATTCATCCTATAATCCACTTCCTCTCACTTCTAAAACGTTTTGACAGTAGCTCTTATTTTATAGCTATTATATTTATTATATTACAGCAGCTTTATGTGTTAACTAACAATTAGCAAAAGTTAAAAGAAACGTACTGAACACACAGCTCTTTTAAAAATTGTTATCAGAACATTGTCGATGACGGCGTAACTTAATATTTTCGGGATCCACAAGACGTTGTCACTAATCACCCGACCTATTAACGACATTATTTATTAGAGGTATTTTTCCGTGGAAATTCAGGCTCGTTACAAAACTCATTAAGATTGTGTTAATAAATCAATGAAATTCCGACCTGTTTGGTGCCACAGCACGTTATACTGCCAGGAAAATAGAACTGTATTGTTTTATTAATTTGTTGATAAATTACACCTACTATAATCAAAAGTATAGATTGTAGGAATTTGAAGAATACAGTAGAATAAATTATTTTCTTCGATATTCCAGAGTCGACGATGTCATTAAAACTTGTTTTACGACTTAAATTCGCGTTTATTTTGATTTGATTTTATGATTATTAGGTACAATCATTACAATATTCAAATGTCGACAAATAACAAGATGGCGTCTGTGAGCGCGAAAAAAATAAGTGCAAATTAAATTGCGAATTGCGTCCTCCAAAAAACGCAAAGTAAGGCCTAAAAAATCTAATATTTCAATGGACTAAATTTCAAAACGTAAAAGTGTTTTTGTGACAGAAGAAATAAATCGTACCTTTTTTACTAAAGGTAATGCGTATTGTAAGCCCGACTGACAAAGACCGCAACCGACGGAAAAAGAAACAAGCTCCAGGTTAAAGAGTAGATGACATATATCTAGGGTCGGCAGACTAAAGCACATAAGTCAAAAATTTCAATTTATTTTTTATTACATCATCGGTTTACATTTTGCTCAATGCACAATCTGACTAAAGCACATAAATCAAACTCAAGTATTTCATGGCGTATTCAAGCGGCGTTCTGTATCAACCTTATCAAATCCTAATATAGTCAAACGAACTAAAAAACATAACTGGACTTANACTTAAGTCATCTAATTATTAAATAATCACATTTACTTTAAAATATTTAATTTTAATAATAAGTTAGTGTTATAGACTTATATAATTCAAATAAACATTATTAAGTTTGTTAATGTATAAGATTCTAAATAGTTTTTTTTAATTCCTGTAAAGTAGAGTTTTTTGACTTATGTGCTTTAGTCTGCTGACCCTAGATATACTTGAGTAACTATACTTGAGACTTTAGAACTTGTATCTCAAAGTGGGTGGCGCATTTACGTTGTGGATGTCTATGGGCTCCAGTAACCACTTAACACCAGGTGGGCTGTGAGCTCGTCCACCCAGCTAAGCAATAAAAAAAATAAAATAAAAAATAATAATAAAAAAACTGCTATTTCAATAATTGAACTACGACCTCTTTCTTGTCTCTAAGTTTTTGTTTTCCTACCCACTGCCAGTGGCCTCGAGGAGCTATTATGGCTTCAGGGTGTGTAGACGAGCTCACGGGTTTAGTATGAGGCACTTTGCTGACATCTGCCCTAGCAAGAGCAGTGCTTCGCAGAACCACCGGATGAAAATCGCGATCCACTGCGAAGAGCACAGTGGGTTGTTTCTTCGAGTTAACTTGCACGTCGAACCCTTCGTCGCATTCGACAAGTTCGACGAGAGCGGTGACACTGCCGGTGCTTGTGTGTTAAATAAATCTTCCTTATGGCGACCTTCATCTTATATTGTGTATGTCAGAGTACGTAGCCACTTAAGCCAAATGAGCCGTGAGCTCTTATACCTGTGGGCAACTGGTGAACGCACCTATCGTAATAATTCTGTATGATCTTTTCACTGATAAAAATTCTCATTCAAATCTTAAAACTCATTGCAAATTTTATCTACATTTATTCAAATCAACGTTCCAATACGGTCATAGCGACTGCATCAGCCCACCCAATATCGGGGGTCAATTTCTTGATAATAATAATAATTAAAAAACAGTTCGAAAATATTTTGACGTTTTTATCTTATCTTACGTGCGTAATGACACGAAACGCCCTATAAAATGTACGATACGTATTTAAAAAAAACAAAACATGACAAGTTTCGATTGCGATTTAGCAAGTACGTCCAGCTGTGTCGTCACTGAGACCGCAGGGGGTCAGATAACTGTTGACACGACGCCGCGTTTGGGTAGATTTCCACAACAAGGGGTCGAAATATAACCAGTACAACGATAAAGTTATTGGAAATTAACAAGACATTCATAATTATTAATGTCATAACAATCATCATAGGATATTGACAATTGTTCTATATTTAGTTGAAGAAAATGTTTTTTTTTTTTTATATATAATTCTTTATGGCCGTGTTTACGTCGCTAATTGCTGTTTGTACTTTAATGAACAACATTTCAAGATAGTTTATGGGCTAAAGGCATGATCTTACATCATTACTGATAGTTTAATAAAAAAAACAACAAAGTCGTTAGGGAATTGCAAAGATATGCCCTGACATTTCCACCGCGAAGGAATGGCTTGAAGGTTGAGACAGAAACAGTAGACTTCAACCTGATAGACTTTTTTTTGTCAGGAGGAAATCGCCGGACTTCCGTGGAGGGCGGGGCATGTCGGAGTCGAACCGATTGCCTCCAATCGCTCAACAACCAGCATCCAAACCTCGCATGAGACAGAGCTCATGAAAAGGCAAAGGGGCGAAAGTGAAGCGTTTAGTGCGGGGCACATCTCTCCCGTCACTCTAACACTAGATAGACTACGTTCATAAATCTAAGGCAATCAAATAAAGTTCATAGTGTGCGTTATACTATGATTTTTTTTTATTGCCCTTGCAGGCAGATGAGCATACGGCCCACCTGATAGTGAGTGGTTACTGTCGCCCATAGACTTTAGCGATGCCAGGGGTAAAGCCAAGTCGCTGCCTACCGTTAAGCACACTCCACAAGACTTGTTTGAAAAAGAACATGTGATAGCGCTCGGTAAACACCGTGGAGGGGAAGTTTTCTTATATTTTTAGATTTAATAAACAATTATTGACAGTAGCCAATTTATACAAGGTGTGTTCGAAAAACAGCAGTCTCGAATTCTAGCATCACGAAATGACGACGAGCTCGCGGCCCACCTAGAGCCCAGAGACATTAACAACGTTAATGCCATCACCTAACTTCAGACATGATCTCTAAGTCTTAGTTTTTATACAGTACAACGGCGGCCCACCTTTCAAACCGAAACGCATTATTGCTTCAACGCAACAATAGTCTGGGTGGTAGCACCTACCAGCAGAAAGAGAATGTTGTTAAATTGCTCTTATGAAACAGTCGTATTTACGATGTTAACGGGTTGTACAGCAACCCTTTGTCGTATTTAATCGTAAGTGTATACATGTTTAGACCTTGGAATGTACGTACTTTCTTTGTAAGAATGTAAGAAAGTCATAGAGGCCTGAAATTAATTTTCAACTATTTATAACAAGTAAACTTTATTTCAGAATTTACTTAATTTTAGAATAGAATTTTCTAAATAAAAATGATTGTCTGAAATACCTGCCTGTTAGTCAATCTTTGGCGTGCAATAAACATTGAAAAACAGGTTTGATTATTTTTCATTGCTTAAATGGGTGGACGAGCTCACAGCCCACCTGGTGTTAAGTGGTTACTAGAGCCCATAGACATCTACAACGTAAATACGCCACCCACCTTGAGATATAAGTTCTAAGGTCTCAGTATAGTTACAACGGCTGCCCCACCCTTCAAGCCGAAACGCATTATTGCTTCACGGCAGAAATAGTCGGGGTGATGGTACCTACCTGTGCGGACTCATAAGAGGTCCTATCACCAGTAATTACGCAAATTATAATTTTACGCGTTTGATTTTTATTACACTATGTTTTATTCTTTCACCGTGGAAGTCAATCGTGAACATTTGTTCAATACGTATTTCATTGGAAAAATTGGTACCCGCCCGCGGGATTCGAACACCGGTGCATCGCTACATACGAATGCATCGGACGCCTATCCTTTGGACCAATTTCTCCCTCTTTCTCCAATTTCTCCTTCCTGGTCATACTAATACAATAAACTAAGTCACTGTAAAGAAATTTTACTCTTAATTTATCTTTATCGATTTGTTGGCCATAACGAATAAGTTATTACTTCGATTCTTCCATGGTAGGTTTGCCATGTTTTCAAACGACAATTCAATACCATTCAAATAAGAATTACTTATTTATCAAGATTAATGTCTCGTACGTATTTCCATAACTGATGATAAAATAAGTAAATAAAGTTATAATACACGCCTTAGTAGCCACCCGAAGTCATTTTTAGTTCATTAATAAAATCAAGTTAATCGCCGATCTTTAGAATCTAGAAAGAATCTCAATAATATTACGTTGGAAGATTCAGTTACGACAGACAGACCAGGACACCGTCATGTTGTTGCCTTCCATATATATAGTTCCATAGTTCAGAAAAATGTGTTTAAAAAAACCACCATTAATTTTGTTTCCAATACCTACTTCCCATTCCTTGAGCCTTTTCATTCCACTTTCACCAACTTTGGACCATAGTTTTTATTTAATTCAGACACAATTCACAAAAAAGCGATCTTTTTTTTTTTAATTCGTCCACTGTAACCTTACATCTTTAACACAAAAATATTGAGGATGTAAATGAACACATTTGTACAGTTGTTTTCAACGTTTTACGGTTCACTAAGTTTAATTTACTAGGTCAATTTATTGCTTGACGTCAATTTTAAGACATTACCTACAATAGGTTTCAAATTCGTTCGGCATGAGGCAACGTTTGCTTACATCAGACTATCTCAAATCTCGATACGATGATGAAATCGTTTGAGTTCATTTCGTGTGGACAAGAAATAGGACGCCGATTTAAAAAAAAAAAAATTTAATCACAAAATTACTTATAACAGATAACGATGAGCCGACTCATTATTTATTATAATACGTAATTTAGAATTCATCACACATAATTCTTTAATACATCACTATTGTTTTCTTTGATACTTACTATATTTAGTAGTATTTTTGAAACTAAACTATTGTTGTTAACCATCCTAATAACCGGTCAACGCCCTCGTCGAACCCGTCGTTTGCGACGAAGGGCTCGACGAGCGAACTAACCCATAGACACAACCCTTTGAGTTTCTCACCGGATCTTCTCAGTGGGTCACGTTTCCGATCCGGTAGTAAATTCTGCGAAGCAGTGCTCTTGCTAAGGCCAGTGTTAGCAACACTTCGGTTTGAGCCCCGTGAGCTCACCTACATGTTAGGGCGAAGCTGAAATAGCCTCTCAAGGCTATCAGCATAGGTAGGGTAAAAAAAACCTAATAAAAGTTATTTTTTTCCGAGTTTATTTCCGAAACGGCTAATCTAAATGTGAAGTACATAATTTCTCCAAAAACAAAGGCTATAAATATCCGGATATATTTATATTATGCCCCTTTAGACATAGCAGTGTTAGGTAGACGGCCCAAGATGTAAAGACGTTTTTGTTCGTGTGAGCTTTGTTCAACTTACAATCAAGATCTATTTCAATTTCAATTACCATACTGAATGCGTTTCATTTGGATAGATTACTGACGTAATTAATTTTCTACTATCGTTCAACTTATATCAATATAAATATCTGTGTGCCGGAGACCTATTGACAGTAGGGCCAAGCAAACTGGGCCAATAACGTTATAATCATTAACTATTGTTATTAAATGATAAAACTAGTTCCTCTCATAAGATGAACGATAGTAATTGCATAATGAAAGATACTCTAAAACACGAATATGAAGGAAAAACAAAAGAGCGATGTCTCTGGGGCCTAATGCTTAAGACGCTTCATGAGCGCATAACACAATATGTTCACTAATTATTTCGTTGGTGAAAGAAATACGATTGTTTTTTTTAATAACATCCGAAGCACGCAAAAACAATACAGTAATAATTTTTGACAGGGACGGCCTATCTAAAGTTCAGTTAATGGAAATAATCTGAATAAGATCACTAAAGACTTCTTGAAGAGTTTATACCCGTTAGAGAATACTAGCTTAGGAGGTAGGGATCATCAATATTTGGATTTGCAATCGGTTATTTGACTAACGCGATGTTTATTATAACTGAAAGTCTTAGTGAATTGTATAATGAAACTTAATTTAGTATGTCAATATTCAGATTCAAAGATAAACCATATGTTCTAATTTGTTGTGGGGACTAAGAAATAGAAACAAGAAATGTAACGTACTCCTGGACGTTGACGTCAATCTACAAAGTAGTTAGATCTCTGCCTAGATTTTATTTAGTCTTCGTTGCTCCACTATAATTACATTCAAGTTTTTTTTTTGAAGCTAAAAAACACGACAAGTTTTCTTAATGAGGTTTACACCTACGCTGCGTTCTTGCGGATTACAATTTGTTCTGACTAAACTGACTGTGTGTGTGTGGTTAAGGTAAATGTTGGTATAAATACTAATAACATTCCATGTCACCAGTACAGATTTTAAACCATTGTCAATTTATAAAAAATCTAAGCCTAAAGCACTGAACAAAGCTTCAAAAACAATTACAAGCCTATTGGCCAAATTACGTTAGTTAATTTCGCAAAAACATGTCTGACCGTTTGTTTTTGCGGCTCTACATTATTTAGATTTCTACCTTTAGATAATTCGGTTATTACACAACTTATAATGAAATTGCCTTGCCCATTATTCATATTACTGATTATGTAACTTTCGTGACCTCTGATATCAATAAGACTTAATTAAACCATCTTAAAGAGATATTGAAATGCGAATTTTATTCACAGGCTCGTAATTTTAAAATTGATTTGGCTCTGATTATGAAATTATTATATGATGTTATGAATATACCGTTTTTTATGAATCAACTATACATTGAACAGTCTTTGCGGTCTAAACTATTTGATACAAAATATTGTTAGTATCTAAATACTAACAAACAACATTTTACATCAAATATTGTTCTGAATAGATCAATAGATAGCGATCGTGACTTTTTAAAGTATTCAATTTTATTGCAAGATTTAAATTAATTCTGCCACACACCTACATAAGTAAAATTCATTTTGCACTACTGTCTCCAGTTTGTGATACTAATCGACACAAGGGGCTTTAAACAATGATAATAATCATTTTATAAATCAAAGGCATAATAAGCCAAGTCTGTGACAGAAACTAACTTCTTTTGCATGAAACAAAAATAATTGTGACAAGAGCATCATCCTAATTTGTATCGAATTAAAATTCAGCAGTGTGACTGTGACTGTCAAAGTAAGAGATAGCAATTAGGGGAGTAACGGGCTTTTAAACCCTCAGTAACTTATTATGAATAAGACCATACATGTATAGTGTGTGTACCTAACTACAGAACATGAAGTGTGCGCACCGTGCAGAAAATTAGCAGTTTCCTTTCAATATTGCATGTTGTTGATAACATCAACAGCCAATGGTGCATTTTGAGTTACCGGTAGTAAGAATAAATAAAATCATTGAAGTAGGTACAATGTTTATTTTAATGATGAAATTAATGGGAATACTCATTTTTGGCAGAAATGTAATGGTCAATCATTAAAAATATTATTTAAAAATATTCACATATCACCTTTCCTTGTTTTCAAATGTAGAAATTCTGCTAATGTTTAAAATTTTATGTAATAGACACCTATGTAGATTTTGTATTTTAAAATTATTCAAGTATTAAGTCAACATTTGAAGCTGCATTTTTCAATTTATGTAATACTTTAAGATCCAACAGTGATGAACACTGTTAGTCAGTATAAGGTTTTTTTATGAGTCTTTTTTTTGGGAGTGATTTATTTAGTTTCTTGACTATTTTAAACTTAACTCTTCTCTTTTGTCAAACTAACTGTAAACATGATGGACATATCTATAAGGTAAAGATCTCATCATTTGAATCATGCTATTTAACAATATATATTAACTTTTTTTGGATATTTAACTTTTTTTGTTTTACTTTTATAAATAAATATTCGTCTTCGGTTATTTTTCTATTCCTTACATAAAATAAATTAAATACATTTTGCAACTGAAATAGGTTTAAAAATGTGTTAACAGACATGTAGACAATCACAATAACAAAGTTTGTTTAGTTTTGTTATTACATACCACATGACTTAACCTAACTGTAAGAAACGTGAGTTTGACATAAGTTTCATAACTTTTTGTGCATGGCATGATATAATTGATGCAACATGTCTTTACCGAGAAACTACAGAAGAAAACATTTATGCGACGTCTAGGTTTAGTTTTTTCTGAATTGTGTGATATTCAGACCAATTTTTGTTGCGAGAAATAAAGAAATTAAGAGCGACTATTTGAATGGTTTAAAATTTGGAGATCATACTTAATTTAATGTCAACTTGAAGTTTACATACTTATTATTATTTATTTAGATGCACTTACCTAGGAATTGTGGTGGGGCGGAATAAATATCTCACAAACAAATAAGTCCTGTTTGACTCTAAACAAGAATTGCGAGACAGAAGTCACAAGTTGTCTATCAGGCAAGAATTAATTTTAACGAATAGCTAACGTCGTACTGTGCCCGTGTTTTATTTTGAATTGACGTTTAAATGTTGAGTGAAATAGGACATAATGGAATAAGATTTGTATGACTGAGACGGGTGACCGGAAAAATACAACGATATAGCAGTATTGATACTTTTTCAACTAACTAGAGATCTGTTCACACGAGTATATTGTAACTTCTAAATGATTCGTTGGCGATGAATTGTTCTCTTTAAGGAAGCAAAATTAACTAATTCACCTTTCTGGAATGTTTTTTTTCAGTAATTCATTTAACCCACGCTTTTTTCTTTTCGAGGTGCGCCTGGCGACAAGCCGATCTGGCTCTCAACAAATTCTCATTTCTTATCCTCCTCCTAAACTTTCAAAATAATTACTACTTTCATAATGATTAGCTTTTAATAGTAGGACTATCCCTATAAGGAAAATTCTACAAAATGTATTCTATCCTCGTTAAATACCTCAAATACTCAGCATGACCTGATTAAAAGTGTCCTGACATACCCGGTGTCCCTTCTCTACACATGATAGAACTTGTGTGAATATTAAAATGATTATCAATATATTAAAATCAGTATTATTTTAAAATGAAAATGCTAATTTTGATAGTTTTCCAAATAGGCATGATGACTTAATTGATTTACAACCAATATCAAGATCAGTCGGCTACGCTATAGTCGATGTTATCAAATCAAACAAAACTCGTCGGCGTTGTTGAGCGAAGTTCGAGCACGTGGTACTACTTTAACTGTTGCTCCTTTGCTGGTAATCTACAATTTATAAAAGGCCCTCATTGCTACATACATTCGTCGCGCGATCCCCACCGTATTGGAAGCTCGCTTCATTCCTACTTGCGCTCGAAAATTGCAAAAATGTCTCATCCTAAACAAGGTACGTTTCCGTCATATTTTATCAATGACAAGTTTGTTTGAAAATTTAGTTATGATACGTACATACCCGACTAAATTAAGAATACATGAATTAGATTTGTATGTTTGCTGCTAAAAGACTTCATTTCTTGTTCGTATAATGTAATTTAAAATAATTTTTATTGAGAAGGCGTTTTGAATATCAGACTTGTGCAACCTTGAATTGAAATTACTTAGCCAATTTTTTTCCCTCGTTTACATACCTGCTCAAAGTTTTTTTTTATGGCAATAGTTTTAACTTTATGCCAGTTTTTACTCAAAGTTGTATCTTTACCGTTCTTAGTTTAAAAGTAGATTATGTATGTTTAAATAATATGTACCGTGCGCAATAAAGTTAAATTTAGTAGTAATAATTTAGTATTAGTTATTAAAGTATTTAGGTAGGTACATAGGTAGGTACCTACCTACCTATATAATTTGCCCATAGACAATACACCATAGATGTAAACCTTTTATTCGACAAAGATTAAAGGGCTCTCAAATTTTTTTAGATTACGTTCACGTCTCCTATTTAGGTTGAGCATAAACGTCTTAAAGATATTAAAAGATAAAATTGTATGATATTGCCTCTTGTGGCCTATTTAATCTACTATAGCCTATTTAATTTACTGGTGGTAGGACCTCGGGTAGGTATGTACCACCGCCCTGCTAATTTCTGCCGTGAGCAGTAATGCGTTTCGGTTTGATAAGAGGGGCAGCCGTTGTAACTATACTGAGCCTTAGAACTTATTTCTCAAGATGAGTGACGACATTTACGTTTTAGATGTCTATGGGCTCCAGTAACCACTTAATACCAAGTGGGCTGTGAGCTCGACCACATATCTAAGCTATAAAAAAATAAATAAAAAATGAATTAGTGAACAAATCAGAGATATCATATACCCATCTAAAAGTACAAGCTACCAAATTATCTAACAAATTATCTAAATCTAAAAAATCAATACCGATAGAATCACTTTATGCAAGCACTCGCCTGCTTCTGATCTTACCAGCTTTTGTAAACACAAATACAGTAAAGATGAAATTCGTGACATGCTTGTCGATTCACGTTTTAGTTTAAATGCATTTATAAATGGCTATTGAACCCAAGTTCAACTTATTGCTATTACCTTATTTATATTAGGTATCTTACCTTTTTTTATCAATATTATTTTGTTAGCCTTTTTTTTTAATAAAATGCAGGCTAAGTCTCTATTTGCCTGTTATTGGAGGTACAACTATCAAGAGTTCCAATGCTACTATTAAATAGTGATAATCTACTACCTCATTGTAAAAAAATACTGAAATGTGATACATTAACGGTATTTTTCAGTTGGACAATATAAATTGGGCAAACTTCTCATTGAGGGTAAGACCAAACAGGTATTCGATGTTCCGGACCAACCTGGGTACTGCTTGCTTCTTAACAAGGACAGAATCACCGCAGGCGATGGTGTCAAAGCCCACGATTTGGAGGGAAAGGCGGCTATTTCCAATCAGACAAATGCAAAAGTGTTCGAAATCTTAAAGTCTGCAGGTGAGCAAAATTTTCTTATTGAGAAAAAATTTGAGTTACTCAAGAGGTGATACTCAACAGGTCACTATCATTTTTTTATTGTATTAATTTAATCTGAATAAGAACTCAGTTGTATTACGGACTGAACACTGTAACTTATTGCTCAGAAGCAACACTTAAAACACAAAAATCGATGTTTTAAATGCTCTAAATTTACATAAAACAATTCAATTCCCTGGAGAAATTAACGACTGACAGTTATTAGAAAAAATGATCCTATAGTTAGTAATTTACCAATTTCCTATGCCGCTGGCAATCGCTACCAACTAACTTAAAATTAAAGATAAAATAACTCGAAGCATAAAAAAACTTAAAATAACCTTTCGTTGTTATAGATACCGAATTGATAATCAGATCAGTTAGAATTAGGATGTTTAATTTGTAATGTAAAATTACTTAACAATATGCAAAGCGGATAACAAAATTATAAATTGATGTAAGCATCAGTAATGTTACTGTATTTTTATTCCAAGATACAATAAAACGTGATAGATATGTTAAAACGTGGAAATCATTTTTGACAAAAAAAAAACAATGCGAAACAGTTCATTTCATAATAATATTAATTTGTATTGCGAATGTTTACAAAAATAAAAGCATTATGTCGAATGATGTTATTATACTATTAATGATGTCAAAAAGCGATGAACAATAACAACACTATTTCGTATTGCGCTATTCAATGCCTATTTATTATCTTGAACTCGTTTTTGACCTTATGTGCGAACAATAACTGATAAGACTACTATAACGATTATTATGAAATATGTCTTGAAGTTGCATGGAAAATTGTAGGTTCAATACTTTAATTACTTTTGATAAACTAATTGCTTTATTTTTTTCCTTGTTAAAGTTACAAATACAAACATGAAGATATGGGTTTTTTATTAATAGAACAAATAAAAAATATATATTGTTAAACCTTTTTTTAACCTCACCTTTAAATTGTTACAGAAGCATGAACATAGTATATCTTTTTTATTTAGTATATCTTTTTCTCTAAAAATATAATCTGTGTGCGTGCGTGATTTTGAGTGTTAGGCAATGTTTTAGAGTCGACATTGCTCTGCTTACACTCCTATTGCCTCCTGTAGCTATGAATGCCTAGAATTTTACAAATATAATCACCATTTCAGGAATCAAAACTGCCTTCGTTAAGATTGCCTCTGAAACTGCGTTCTTATCCAAAAAATGTGAGATGATCCCCATTGAATGGGTTACCCGCCGCCTTGCAACTGGCTCGTTCCTAAAAAGGAATCCTGGTGTACCAGAAGGCTTCAGGTTCACTCCTCCAAAACAAGAGACTTTCTTCAAGGATGACGCAAACCACGATCCCCAATGGTCAGAGGAGCAAATCATTTCAGCCAAATTCAATTATAACGGTCTTCTAATCGGTGGGTTACTTACTACATTTGTTTGCGATTGTAGGTATATAATGTTCACAAAAAAAAATGATTTCGTTACATCGCTGTTCTTCCTTGCCATTTTCCTTAAAAAAATCCTAAATTTTTATTCACACAACATCTCTACAAGTCAAAAGTGCGCTAATTGTGATTTCCTTGTGGTGTTGCAACTTTGTAAAAAATATACATTTTTATGCTTCGTTAAATAGGTCGCGACGAGGTCGACTACATGAGAAAAGCTACGATTCTAATATTTGAAATCTTGGAGAAAGCTTGGGCTTTACGTGACTGCGCACTTATTGACATGAAAATAGAATTCGGAGTCGATACAGAAGGTAGACAGGTTTCCTTTGATTTTTACCGCTCCGATTTAATATTTACATAATTCTAATCGCCGTTTATCTATTTTCAGGTAGCATTGTATTGGCGGATGTCATCGATTCTGACTCTTGGAGATTGTGGCCTTCCGGTGATAAAAGATTAATGGTTGACAAACAGGTATTATTTTTATTAATTTTCACCCAGGGATTTCTTGTTTTTTTTTATTGCTTATATGGGTGGACGAGCTCACAGCCCACCTGGTGTTAAGTGGTTACTGGAGCCCATAGACATCTATGACGTAAATGCGCCACCCACCTTGACATATAAGTTCTAAGGTCTCAAGTAGAGTTACAACGGCTGCCCCACCCTTCAAACCGAAACGCATTACTGCTTCACGGCAGAAATAGGCAGGGTGGTGGTACCTACCTGTGCAGATTCAAAGTCCTACCACCAGTAAAACCAGTAACCAGTTGTTCTGATAAAATGTATTAATGAAATAATTAGGTGTACCGGAACCTCACAACGGTGACTGCAGCTGATCTAGACACAGTCAAACGCAACTTTGCTTGGGTGAAAGACCAGCTTGATTTCTTGAAGCCGACGATCCACCACAAAGTTGTCGTCTTTATGGGTTCACCAGCCGACCAAGAACATTGTCAGAAAATAGCTAAAGGTATTTCTTTGACTCTAAAAACCTTGACGACTGTTTCGCCTTGAACAAACTAAATGAACCCTTTATGCAAACAGCTGCCCGTGAACTTGGACTGGATGTCGACCTTCGCGTGACATCAGCCCACAAGGCCACTGAAGAAACCCTTCGCATTATGCAGCAATATGAAGATACGCATGGTGCTCTCGTGTTCATTGCTGTAGCAGGACGATCGAACGGACTTGGGCCCGTTCTTTCTGGGAACACTTCCTACCCTGTCATCAACTGCCCACCTCCTTCCGATAAACTTGTACAGGTAAATAAAATGTTATTCACATTGCACATTGCTTTACAATTAAGTTAAAATAATAAAGCTTCATAAAATTTATCAAAACATCAAATCTACTGAAATTAAATTTGATTCATAAATATCAGACTACTATAGCTAAGATATGGTTAACATATTATGGTGCATTAGTTTTTGCCCGCGACTTCGTCCGCGTGGAATAGTTCGTTTGGCGTATATCTACATATAGTGTAAGCTCTCAAAAGGGAAAAATACCCCGATTTTGAAACATTATTTATTGGTGCTCCACTTGGTCCTATTGGTCCTATTGGTCTTAGCGTAATGTTATAGCCTATAGCCTTCCTCAATGAATGAGCTATCTGACACTGAACAAATTTTTCAAATCGGACCAGTAGTTCCCGAGATTAGCACGTTCAAACAAACAACTTTTGCTTTATAAAGCACAAGTCCGGCCTCGCGTGGAGTACAGCTCCCATCTCTGGGCCGGGACTCCCAAATACCAGCTTCTTCCATTTGACTCCATACAGAAGAGGACCGTTGGGATTGTCGATAATCCCATTCTCACGGATCCACGGATACTACCTGGAGCCACTGCGGTCATCCTCAGTGCGTTTCCAGAGGTCTATTTTGCCACGTACCATCAATCTTCAAACGAGGCTTGTGGATAGTATTAAGCGGTAGGCAGCGGTTTGACTCTGCCTCTGGCATTGCCGAAGTCCATGGACGACGGTAACCACTCACCATCAGGTGGGCCGTGCGCTCGTCTGCCTACAAGGGCAATAAAAAAACTCTTTCAGCTTTATAATATTAGTATAGATAATTAATGAAAATAATAAATGAAACGTGAAGACATTTAAGCAAGCTTAATTGCTCACAGTTATCTCTCTACTCGACAACATGACTACCGGTGATTTTGTAAATCTGCTCGTATCCTGCTCAATTCATGCATTAATAAAGTGCTTGTGGTTGGAAAGATGGAGAGCCATTATGAAATATAACTGAGACCTCGATCTTTTGTCTCCAGCTGACTGATTCAAGTTGTAATAATATTCTACTAATCATGTATACTGTAAGTTTACAATAAAATAAACGAGGTTTATTTTAAATTCTAGGACATCTGGTCGTCCCTCTCCGTACCGTCTGGATTAGGATGCGCTACAGTAATTTATCCTGACAGTGCTGCACTAATGGCTGCTCAAATAATCGGCCTTCAGGACTATTTAGTGTGGGGACGTCTTAGATCCAAACAACTTGACATGGCACATTCACTAAGACAAGCGGATAAGAAGCTCAGGAACCAAACAGCTTAATGTATAACAAAATACAAAATGAAAAATAATATGCAAGTGCCAAGATTAGTCAGTCGTACTATAAATAATAGAAAAAACAATCATATTTTTACCAAGAATAATGAAATGTTTTATAAGTATCATGAATGTTGTCTGTTTAAGTTGAACATTCCATATTATACTTATTTCATTAAAGAAATCTTGTAAAGTTGTAATTGTCATTATCACCTTTACTATGGATTTTATAGACATATCGATCCATTCTGAGCTTTCATACAGTGTGTTGAAAAAATTTGTGTTTTTCCATTCCGATCCGCAATTAAAATCTTAAAAACTAGTAGACATTTTAAACTCCACAACACGTTGGACTGAAACTGCTTTTCGATCTACATGAGATTTATACGCACTGATTGAAAGCACAATAAATATAGAGAAAGGAGACTACTTGGCGAAATACTGCCGGCTTTTTAGTTAGTAGGCAAACCAGGACCTCATCTGCTCTATAAAGTAATGTGACATTAATACACTCCAATGATGGGAAGATATATTTAACGGATATTTCCCGCGTCAGCGAAAAGTGACTCACATAACGATTATGGTCAGTGCTTCTATTGCTATTTAATATTTATTTCGAAGGATTTTTCGGTTACACCAAGCCAAGCGCGCTCTCGAATAGTGACTATGTTTTTGGGCAGACTGGCTTAAAGGCTCACTTGATCTTACAATGGGAGACACAACAGCGTTAATGCTCAGCCAGAATATCGTTATGTAGTGTAATACAGAGCTAAATTTTTTAGGCAGATGTGTATTATGATAGAGGTTTAAATAACGTGCAGAGGTGATGATATCCAAAACGCTTCATGCTCTATTACATTAAAGTATAACGAAATAAATACTCTCGATTCAGATTTTAATGATTTAGTAGCTGACGTGATTTAGTGATTTTAAATATATATATTTCTCTCAAGCAAAGAATAAACATAGTATGTCCATAGCACGACTTTTCTTGTGGATCCTCATTTTCGATTTTGGACACGCTAAGTACGAGTTTTTTTGGAAAAAGAAAAAAGAGAACACCAGAGTTCAATGTTTGGATTGAACTAAACTTTGATTTTCTAATAATTAAATACTGTATATTGTTGATTATTATCATTGCTTAAAAAGTAAACATGGTTTAAACAAAATAAAACAAATTAATTCTACTTTTTTTTCGTCTACTTCTCAAATTACTACCTACCTACATAATTTCACTTCTTGGTTTAATACTATCCCTAAAATTACTTCACTCTTGTCTCTAGGCGAATCTAATTGCACATGGCTAAAACTTAAGTACCGTAAAATGGGGCGATTAGGGATTGAGAGGCGAATCGGGAAAAAACCGGGAAAATCTTTCGACACTCAATATTAGTTTTATATTCGTTACAAAATCTTCCATTTTTTGTAGTTTAATAGTAGAATGTTGAAAGTTTACAAAACAACTCTGAATATGCATGATAATAGCTACTAACTTATAAAAAATCGCGTTTCAAATTAACTTCCTGTGGTGGTAATTATTTTAGTGCCAGAAACTTTGCTCTCTTTTATTTATTTGATAATAATAGAAGACAACTGTGATTTATAAACGTTATTTAGTGTTTGAACCATCATGTATATTAAAGGTAAGTCTCAGTTGTTATTGGTTTTAATGTATTTGATAAAATAAAAATACATGTAAAAATCTGTTGTTTTTGGGGATATTGGGCACGTCTTAGGTACAAATAACAACGAAAAAGGGGTCAATTGGGATGAGAATACGTGAAATGAAAACGACCTAAGTATAAATAGGTACAGGTTTCTAGGGTTGTCTATGTAGTTATAACAATATTTTTTAAATTTGTTGGTAAAAATTTGGTTTATTCATGATGTTTTGTCTAGAACTTTTATTCAAAATTATCAATGTGTTATTTTATTGTTTGGTAAATATTTATATTATCAGTTACGTATTGTTTTCTATTTTTAGATATGACTCTCGTGTACGTATCAAAGAGTGCAAAGCCTTATAAGAGATATTATCCCTTAATATTAAAAACAGCAATTGGGCAATTGCCTAATTGGGAATAAGTCTTTAGTTGAAATAGCTAAGCAATTTAATATAAGTAAGTCGATTTTGCACAAACATGTAATAAGAACAATGAAATCTCAAGGTGGACAAAAATGTCTAAGTAATACATAATAAAATATTTAATATTTGTTCAGAGTGTCAGTTTTGCAATGTCTTTTATTGATGATCACTTTGTTGGTTCAACTAAATAAATAAATTAATTAAAACCAAGTAGCAAATTTCTCAACCCTAGCAAATTTCTCATTTCGTCCCAATTAACCGCAATTTCCGGGTAAATAGGGATTACACCTATTTTTGCTTTTTTTGCTTAAACTGGAATGCCAGTTGCATAGTTTTAAATTGAACAACAAAGATGCCCCCAAGACTCAATCATTTTGATCCTGATATAGCATTATATACATCAACAACTACCTTAAAATTGGTCAAAAAGTTGGAATTTGTCCCTAATCGCCCCATTTTACCGGTATTGCCTACGTAGTACAATTAATATGTTAGTCTGTGAATCATTGTATTATCTATCTATGAGACTTTTTGGCGGGAACGCGAGGAGTGAAGTTGTGTGATTTGTTTTATTATGTTAGTTTAGTGTTTCTTCGGGTTTAAATGTGTAATAACGGTGGTTTATTAACTGTTTTATATCTGTGAAAGTGCACAAATGTGGGAAAATGAAACAAAGCCGCTGGACGTAACTTCTCGGGATACTCCCAAAAAGTCCACTGAAAAAATCTCAGTAAATGACCACCATTTTACTGAGATTATATTTCATTCCATATCATCTCATCGCATCTCATTTAATTTTATCCCAGTTGATTAATGTCACAAATTAATTGTCTTCGTTTCATTTCATTTCACTCAATATTATCATTTTTCATAAAAATAAGAACATAAATTAAAATAAGACATGACTTAAAGGTCTTAGATACCAGGTTAAAAAATCTCTATAAAAAAAATCTATCTAACTATCTATGACAAGAAAACACAAATGTCAATTTCAGCTGTGCTGCGAAATAGCCGGACGAGTGCTTTGTGTGTGCTTGTAGTCTTAAGAAAATCTGTTAGGTCATTTTACACGTACAAAATGGCAGAAAAACCAGCGGACTATTTATCGACAAATGGTTTCGAAAGTAAAACACCGTTCTTGATCGGTGTAGCTGGCGGCACAGCTAGTGGCAAGGTAAGGGATCAGTTTCTCGATTATCGATTATATTGTGCAGAAATTTGAATATTACGTAACCATTTACCCACTAATAATTCCATCTTCAACAGTTTATATCATATCCGATATCGCAAGGTTCTTTGTAAAGCAAAAACAAATTTATAACCTGTACACCTCATTGCTTAATGTTAAAAATACGTCGTAATTACGTTTTATACAGAACAGGACAGGCAATTAGAATACGAATCTACTCTGTCTTAACCTTTCATACTTTAATATTGATTTTATTCGATTATAAAAAAAAATTATGACCATATTTGTCTAACAATGGCAGCTAATGAGTTTCGTAGTAATTAATGTTTACAAATGATTGGATTCTCCGAATTCAAAACAATTCTTGTGAATATTAGAAAATAAAATGCTAAAGAGCTCACCTACTTGCTGAAATAGCCTCTCAAGGCTATCAGCACAGGTAGGAAAAATCAACTGTAGTTGTACATATTTAAAAAAAACTATATTAAACCATAAAAAATGGTTATAACTAGTTGAACTAAAGAAATTATTATATTAGTTAATTAACTCCACGAGAGTTAATATTGCTGTAGTTTTAATTATTCTGTGAAATAACAATATTTTTAACATCTAAAGTAATAAGTACAGGTTTGTAAAAGTGTCCAAATTCTCAGTACATACAGTTTACTAATATTTGTAACCATACTCAATATGTGCATATTTATTAATTTTAGGGTGAATAGTAAGACATCATTGAAATTGTTGTGGTCTAAAAGATAAGACGTCCAGTGTATTCATATCTAGTGATGCACCGGTGTTCGAATCCTGCAGACAGTTACCAATTTTTCCAATCAAATATGTTCTTAACAAATGTTCACAATTGACTTCCACGGTGAATGCAGAACATCATGTAATAAAAATCAAACATGCAAAATTATAATTTGTAAATCCGTACGGGTAGGTACCACTACCCTTCCTATTTCTGCCGTGAAGCACTAATACATTTCGGTTTGAAGGGTGGGGTAGCCATTGTATTCTTAAAACTGAGACCTCAGAATTCATGTCTCAAGTTGGGTCGTGGCATTTACGTTAGATGTCTATGAGTTCCGCTAACCACTTAACACCAGTTGGGCTGTGAGCTTGTCCACCTGTCTAAGCAATAAAATAAAAACGCCTTCACAACTTAGCACCACCACCCTACTAAAATTTGCTGTGGGGTAATGATGATTTTAATAATAACGATTTGTTGCATGTAATAATCATTATACCAATTGAAACCGACCTCATCTAGAAACGATTGGAGGCATTTAATTTGTGATATCTATGGGCTTCATTAACTACTTATCACTACACTCTGGAAGCTCAGCCACGATTCCATGCAATAAAATTTCCACTAGAATATAATCTGGTTTGATAGTAAATTTAGGGTCATTAGTAAATTGTAACTGATTTTATGATTTTCGATCTGGGTCTATTGAGTCTCATCATTTACAATGACTTATAGGCACAACATTTAATTAAACTTTAAACTATCTTCTTCCAATAGTTTATACAAAGCTCTAAAATATAGATATAGTATGTAAGTAAGCCACACTCTGCAGACTTCTTTCACTATAATATTTTGTATGGTGTACCGGAATACAGATTTATGTATGTACAATAAAACAATTTAGATTCAAACCTCTTGACTCCAGCTGAGTAATGGATGATATTGTAAAGTCTATAGGCTATAGAAACGGTCCAGGAACCGGGGTAAATTACCCCAAATAGGGTAAAATGAAATTTTGAGGGGTAAAAATGAAACTTTTGTGACTAAAAAGTATATATTGGAATGAAACTTCTTGTGATTTCAAATTATCATGGGGGCTATAATATGAAAGATGCTAAAAAGAAGCGATTTCGTTTTTTTTTGTTCTTCGCCATTGGGTAATATCAACTTACATATAAATCGAATAAACTTAATAAAATCGAAAGAAATCTAATTGAGAAAAGATACAAAATCATAAATTTTATTTTAACTTTACTCAGTCCACTGTATGCCAACGCATCATGGAGAAGCTTGGTCAGCAGCACAAAGAGCACACTGAAAGGCGAGTCGTCTGCATCAGCCAAGATTCCTTCTACAGAAGTCTGACAGCACCAGAACGTCTCCGAGCTGAACGTGGACAATTCAACTTTGATCATCCTGATGCATTTGATGACAAGAAACTGCTAGCAACATTAAAGGACATATTGGCAGGAAAGAAAGTTGAAATTCCTGAATATGATTACATCTCAAATTCCATAAGGTTTGTGTTGTAGTCCATTGCTGCCAAATGTTTACACATCTTTAGTATATTGAGAATCAGACTTATTGAAAATAAGAGTAAATGAGGTTATCACTGGTGGTAGGACCTCTTGGGAGTCCGCACGGGTAGGTACCACCACCCCGCCTATTTCCGCCGTGAAGCAGTAATGCGTTTCGGTTCGAAGGGTGGGGTAGCCGTTGTAACTATACTGAGACCTTAGAACTTATATCTCGAGGTGGGTGGCGCATTTACGTTGTAGATGTCTATGGGCTCCAGTAACCACTTAACATCAGGTGGGCTGTGAGCTCGTCCATCCATCTAAGCAATAATAAAAAATAATAAAAATGATATTAACATTATTCAAACAATAAACATCATATTATGTAGCAGCATATCATTTCCAACTAAGACAAATATTGATTCCCTATTCAATTTTGATCTGATTTTGATTGATGACTTATTGGACTAACAATGATCATGTATATTATCAGAATTCATTTTTTTACCATCATCATCATAATCAGTTGCTCTTGGCAGAGCAGTCGTGGTCATGTGGAATTCTTGCTCATTAAAGCCTTGACAGATGTTTTCCACAGTTTTTTTTTACCATAGATCACAACAAATCAGCTATAGCTATAACTAGCTATAGGTTGTTTAGAGGGAAAAAAAATAAAAATAAAAATGTAAATTACATTTTCCTAATTAGTCAAAAAACTGAATTTTGTGGTATTTGCACATTGATGTCCCCTAACAACTGACAAAAAACTCTCCAGTAATTGTGGGTTGATGTTCTAAGAAAAACAATTCACATATGTATTGCATAATAATTCACTTACCCAATAAGAACAAATGAGCAAAGCCTGAGAGAGAATCTAGTTTCTTTCTAGTTATACAGTTCGTGCCAACAGTTATTGCTATATTTGAATGTAGATGAGTACATGGCTATAAATGCTATTATACGCCTTTTTAGTTGAATGTTTCAGGCAAAGTATAGGACAAACAGATATCTTTCAAACACTATGAACAATTTTTTCCAGTGAGATCGAATCCCAGATTTGAAAAGAAAACAATAAACTCTAGATTTAGCAGTTAAAAACGTTTTAATTCAAATGTACAACCTGTTTTTATGCTATTTATAAAATCTTCAATAATGCTGTAATTTTTTGTAAGCTTAATTAATTATGATTAATTTCAAACAGCAATCGCACAAACACACTGTACCCAGCTGACGTTGTGCTGATCGAAGGTATCCTGGTCTTCTACTTTCCCGAAGTGAGGGATCTTTTTCACATGAAACTGTTTGTTGATACTGATTCAGATACCAGACTTGCGAGACGAGGTTAGTTCACAATTTAGTATTGCTCTATGGATTATTTAAAACAACAATTTATTTTTATTCTTTTAAACGAAGAACACAATGTAACAAAGACCTGATTGTTTCTTGGACTATCCAAATAATTATCCAAAAGCTTACTGGTTATAGCGCGTCTTGTGAGCCCGCACGGGTAGGTACCTCTACGCCGCCTATTTCTACTGTGTTATGAAAAAATTAAATAAAATATCATTGAAATTTATGTTTGTCATGTCAAAAAGACAGTTTTTACTAAATTTATGTGACAGTATACTAAAAAAAAGTACAACAAAAGAAAATTGTACTTTTACTGGCTTAGTTATAAAAATTAACTGGCCTATGCTTATTTTAGAAAAAAAAAACCTAGAAATTCTGAACAAAATTCATTCAAATAGGGTATACATAATAATATTATTAATATCAAGCAATGCCACTGATATTCTTGTCAAAATTACATTAAAATAAGCAGTTTAAGACAAGCGTATCTTTTGTTTCACGTAAGATTTTTCTTTTTATCTAATGTAACTTTTTATTTTCTAGTTCCGAGGGATATAATGGAACGTGGCCGAGACTTGGAGCAGGTGCTCAACCAGTATATGAACTTTGTGAAGCCAGCATTTGAAGAGTTCTGTCTTCCGGTGAGTTTTTTCTTTCTTTTATTTTTATTGCTTAGATGGATGGACGATCTCACAGCCCTCCTGGTGTTAAGTGATTACTGGAGCCCATAGACATCTACAACGTAAATGCGCCACCCGCCTTGAGATATAAATTCTAAGGTCTCAGTATAGTTACAACGGCTGCCCCAACCTTCAAACCGAAACGCATTACTGCTTCACGGCAGATATAGGCAGGGCGGTGGTACCTACCCGTGCGGACTCACAAGAGGTTATATCTTAGTTTTTTTCAAACTTTCATAGGACATCTGTGTGTTATTTTTAGTGCAAGCGTTTACTTAAGTTGTAATGGAAATATTCTTGATTCGTCTTCACTGGCAGAGCCGGTGATACCTAACACGTTATTGTTAATACTACAAACTTATATTTTATTGTCCTTCGTATAGCGCGCAATGTAACACAAATAAGTATTTTCTGGACAGTTGGATAGGTAGCTGAACAAAATGAAGCTCTTGAAGCTCATGAAAGCTATTTCAGTAGATAAATAGATACAGATGAAGCTAAATAAAACTTACTAAACCATCTACCGCTCGGGATATATTTGTTAGTAGTCTTCATGGAACGGATGTTCATGAAATTGGAGCCTTCCAAAATCACACGTATTCATTAATTACCTTGGTTAAGAATAGTGTACAAGTGGTGTAATTTTTGTTTACGTGACGATTATATTTTATCTGCGGTACGACTCAGTAGCGGTGGCATGCATATGTTACGGTAAAAGTAGATATTGCGGCAAATGTACACATTTTCCCGTAAATGTGCTTATTTGCTTTGGGTAATTTCGTTTGGGTAATGTGCATTCAACTAACATTTACCGCATACGCACCACAACTTAACCTAACCTACGATATATTATATAATATGCAAAGAAAAGTATGTTTTGTTTGTCAGTTACATTTTTGTAATTAAAATAATTTTCGTTATTAAAGCCTTTTGTACCTAAGTTTATATAAATATTTTTTTACTGCAACAACATTATTAAGTCATTTGTATTCCAACTTTTCTTAAAACATGAAAGTAAGTGTATAAGTATACATTTACCAAAACGTGAAGGCAAGAGTACACATTTGCCAGGAAATGTACATATACATTATATTCAGTTCACATATACCTATTATAACTTTTTGGCAAATGTGCACATTTACCGGGAAAAGTGTACATTTCCCAAGAGTGTACATTTACCGTAACACATACACCTTTTGTTGAGTTGATGGAAATCATCCTAGATTCGAGTTCTAACCGCCCAGTAATCCCAGTTACAATAGATTCTAAACTCTTTCACAGATTAGTCTGTATCGCAAAGAGTTAAAAATTAAAATTGTTTGGCTTAAAAAAAAAACTGAGATGACTTAGTGCTTTTTATAAAACCTCTATATGCAAACTCTAATATTAAAAAAACTAAAATAATCCAATAATATTATTGCAGACAAAAAAATTCGCTGACGTCATTATCCCGCGAGGAGCAGATAATTTAGGTAAGTAACTAATATCGTTGTTTCTATAGTTAGTTATAAAATGGACCCTAACCCATGCATCAGCCCACTGAGTTTCTCGCCGTATCTTCTCAGCGGGTCGCGATTCCGATCCGGTAGTAGATTCATTCGCGAAGCAATTTTTCTTGAGTTGTTAGGTCTCCTTCGGAGGCGGTCGGGCAGCTGTTAGCAAACCCACCCCTCCTAGCTGAGCCTTTTCTCGGCCAAGTATCCTGGTGAAAGTGGAAAGGCCTTCGAGTTACCAGTAATCTTTCGAACATAAAAATAAAATAAAAAATGGAAAAGTAAAAAAATAGTATCCACATCACATCGCTCGATCGTCAAACAGATTATTTGGTACTGAATGTTCATTTATTTATTATGTAGAATGGTGTTTTTAAATATTTTCTAGATCATAGTTAATTTAGAGTAAGTTAGTTTTTTATTTTATTTTTCATTTTCTCTTCTTCGAGTATAAATACACTCGCATATGCTAAGTATCGATGGCTCTCGTTAAAGCCAGAACTGTATCCCCCCTTTCCGAATTCTGATGGGGTTTCGAAGTTTGAATCGAAGAGCGACTGAATACCCCATGTCCACCCCACAACTCCAAGACGTGATGGGGTCACGATATCAGGATTCAAGCCCCTAAATAAAAAAAAAGCCTCCCAAAATAGCGCCTTTTTTGTATATTCTATTTTTTTTTAAATCACGCATAACGTTCTCAACTACGTAATGCCGTCGAAACAACATTCCGAATTCAGTGATTATCATATTTACGTGTTAATTTTAATTGTTTATCGGAATAAATAAGGTAAGTGTAAAAAGATCATAGCCACTGCAACGAAACGAATTAAAAATTAAAAAAAAGTACAAAACGACCAGCTTTACGTACGTAATTAGACGACGATTAGCGAACTCCTTGCAGCGGCTATGCTCTTACGTAGCTGCCGGACCTTATTCCGTCGTGTTAAGGTGCGTTTTCCGTTGTTGCAGTGGCTATTGATCTAATCGTTCACCACATTTGGGATATAATTTACAAGAAGCACCCGCCGAGAGCTACTAATGGCGCGACTTGTAACGGACACCACGATGTGGATGAGGCGAACGGGAGGAGGCTGTCTGGAAGCTCGGAGGACACTCTAAGTCGATAGTTCGGTCTGGACGCGTTAGCTTTTGTGACAGCATACGTACGTTTGCCGTGAGCTTTGAACTACGAGATAATTCTGGAACAGTATAGAAGGTTCGATGAATAAAAAATTCTCACGTCACCTCTCCTACAAATCTATGTCGCTCTACTGACGTGTTCTCGACAAATAAAACAAAAGATTGCGCATTCACAATTCTGCCTAAACATGTTTTATAATTGTAATAGGTAAACTAGTCTTTAGATTTAATGTCCCGTTTATTTTTTTTGCTGTCGTAACAACTCTTCGGATACTTCACAATTTTATTGGTCATGTGTTAATAAAAAGAAAAAAGCCACAGATATTTGCGTTATTATTAACGGTGGAGCCTATTTCTCGCATTAAGTTTGCTTGCGCGCCGTTTAAATTCTAATTTAGGCAGAATTAAGAGTCATCGAGTATATTTTTATAAACTGTTTGGTTGATACTTTAAGGCTCACGGCAATAGTATCAATACTGTTAAGGACCGCTCGCATGGCGCCGCGGTGGTGTGGCCCGACCCTAAGGCATGTTTAAATATAATATATGTTCGTCACAAAAGCATTTGACCATAGGATATTTGACGCTATCGATTGTCCCTTTTGTAATTGCATTAAAACACTTTGTTTATCGATTGTTCCTTGTGTAATTGCAATAAAAAACTATTTTTGATGAACCGAATTATTGACAAAAGTATATTCTGCACCAATAAAAGGATACATAATATAATCAGTTCGGTCACATGCCCTAGGTTTGGTTCGTGTCTTATGACGTCACAGTTTAATAAACATCCCATAATTGCTCTTGAAGTTTGCCTATAAGTGCACCGTGATGAACCATTTCTTCATAAAAGTAATGTGACACAAATGAAATGCGTTTTGGTGGAATATTACTTTTAAATTTAATTTTAATTTGTCATTATAATAACTGAATGTTTAAAGATGTTATGAAAAGACACTGAGCTAATACCTAAGGAATGAGTATGCATTTTTATATAATGTATTCGATAATTCAGTCAAATATCCTATTCTTAATGAAGGCATGTAAAACTTACATTTAAGTACTTATTATATTAACATTTTATATTATATGTAAAACAAATCCTGTACACTTTGTGTATACGAAAATGTACCGATATAGCTGACGATAGGGTCGATTATTCTTTATTCGCATATTTCATTGGAAATATTTCGATGGTTTCAATGAACACTACGCTAACTCCAAATTCGTAGGTTTACAGGAGGAGCGTTTAAATGAAAAAGGTTGATAGAAACTTTATTATTGCAGATATATTTATGGTTTTGTTTGTGTAACTAGCTGATTTACTCTTGCTTCTAACCCTATCAATAATGATTTGTAATACTTTTAAAATAGTGAAGCGATTTGTGTGAAAAACGAAAATTTCAAAATTTTGAGTTAGAGTAGTGTTCATTGGAGCCATCGATTTGTTTTATAGTATATATATATTTTTATTTCAATTTCATTTATAAATTGGACCAGCGATTGTATTCAATTGTTGAAGTGGCCATCGATCGACTCTAGTTATCCTCATTTGTAACCATCCAAATTAAAACATGAAATGTTATGTAAAATAATAATTGAATGATTCGTATATGCGAAGTGATAATTCCTCAAATAATCCATTTAGGATATAGTAAGTTCCAATGTTTATTATAAGGCTGATGCTTCTTAAAGCAAGTAATAATTTAAGTATTAAAGAAAATCCATATACATACTTATTAATATATATATTTACTGAATAATTTTCAAGAAGTGAAAATAGACTCGGATAGCTGTAATGTACGAGCGAAATTGAATCGTTACGAAAATAGATTTTACACAAAATCTAAATATATAAAAAAAAACATTTTAAAACAGCATCTCGTAATAAATGTATTGAACAATAAATAATAGTGATGACGTCACGTCCATTTGTGCGAGAGAGAGAGAGAGAGAGAGAGATGGTAATATATTCGCTCTACCTGTCTCACGCTGATGGTTCTGCGACAGAAACCTGAAGTGCCAATAAGTATACCAAGTTTCTAAATAAATCAGACTAATATTTTATGGACGTATAATGCACAAACGCATTCGTTTTTATTTATATAGATGTACCATCGCAAACAAAAACATTTGAATCCTCACTATTATGGTACATGGAATTTCCGCTACATTAGTGGGCCGATTTATACCTTATTTTTCACTTTGTATCCGTTCTATATCGACGCTTGAAAGGCAAACGTGACTAAGAGACAATGCGTGAACTTTACAGTAGACTAATTTAAAGTTGAAATACCTGAAAACAAAATTTATTTTAACGAATCTAGCTGTAGTAGAATCTAGCTAGTAGCTGTAGGATTGAAATGATTTTAATAAACCTAGAAATATATTTTTATTGCGCCTCGAATATGGTTATTGCCTATCATTTATGTACAAAGCAGTTATTGTCGCTTAGTCACGTTTGCCTTTCAAGCGTCGATATGTTTTAAAGCCACATACATACTTATGACACAACAAATCCCTAAGGTTCGAAGTGCGATAATGTCCAACCGCTCAATTTACTCCGAGTACTTTATATACTGGGTTTTAGGAGACCGCTTCCGGAAACGAAGACAGACGATAGTACTAAGGACACCTTTGATGATGGGACGAAAAAAAATGGATCCTGATTTTTAAAAAAGTCATATTTTTAAAACGTTTTATTAGCATTATTTACGGTCCATAATGTTAGTACAGCAAAATCAAACGATAGTTTCATAAAAAATATATTACTAAAAAAACCAGCAATGAAACACAAATACAAAACCAGCTGATGCTCGGGTCAATGAACACACGGGCACGGCGGGGCGCAGATTCGCACAAATATTTATTTACAACATTTGTCTAAATAACTCCATCATCAAAAGTGTCATTAGTACTATCGTCTGTCTTCGTTCTCGGAAGCGATCTCCTAACACCCAGTATATCTATTGTAGAACATGGTCGATATATTACGAAATAAAAAAAAAACTTTTTTACTGTTAATTAATTGTAACCATGTATAATAAAATTATCGTAACAATCCAATGAAATTCTTGATAGAAATGTGAAATTTAAATGAAGTTTATACACGAATGGAAAAACAAGCATATTTTTTATATTAAAATACGTTTTTTTCTTTATGGATGCATGTCTCATGCTCCACGTATTAAAAAAAAAAGAATATTTTATCTGTATTCTGTGAGTTTATGCATGGAGGGTAGAGGTAAGGAGAACCGTCTCTGTGTGTGAAAATCTGCTAAATAAGGGTGGCGCTACAGTAGCAAACGGGTAAATTTAAAAAAAAGCACTGAAAGCTATTAGAATAAAATAGAGAAATAAAAAAGAACGAACTGTAAGCACTATAAAATCACAAAAAGTATATTATTTAAAGCTGAAAAGAAAATGCAATCGATGTCTCCACGTGTTACCACAGCAATAATTTTAGGTTATATTGACGAAATTAGTTTGGACTACGTAAACATGTGAGATCTTGTATATTACACTGTCACTAACTACTCTACTCATTAAATATATTAAATTTCCTAACTCGACATACTTCAATCCGTTAACAACTGCTCAATTCATATCATACCCTGTGCCTATGCTAGCGTCATTCTGGAGGCTTTTTGAACTGTTATTTAGTGCTGAAAGTGGGACACTTTTTCAAGCTTCTCCCATATGAGACAGTTCTCCTTACCTCTACCCTCCATAGTTTGTCACTTGTCTAATGTGTAGAGATACTCTTTGGAGATGTAATTTTTTCTTTCGTTCGAGAAATGCACAATTTGGTAATCCTACAGTGCGAACAGTATCTAATTGTTTTAATAGTGTCAATTTCAGTAGCTATTTCATTATTGCGTTTTATTTATCATCGTGTTATGACGTCAATTTAGTTTTTTTTTCCTACCTAAGCTGAGAGCCTTGAGAGGCTATATCAGCGTAACCTTAACTAGTTGGTGAGCTCACGGGGCTCAAACCTGACGTCGTTGCTAACACGAACCCTAGCAAGAGCCGTGCTTCGCAGAATCTACCACCGGATCGGAAACGCGACCCACTGAGAAGATCCGGCGAGAAACTCAGTGGGCTGTGTCTGAGGGTTAATTTACTCGTCGAGCCCTTCGTCGCAAGCGACGGGTTCGACGAGAACGATGACCGATGCTTGAGGTACCTAAAAGCACCGTTAGTGGATCGGGAGGATCCGACAAGAAATCTTTCAGGCGACGGCGGCTTTGTGTTGTCCCGTCGCGGCCGGATAAGTTCAAAATACACTTAAGCCCCAATCGTATAAGTTACGTAAGTCATCGTAAAAAGAAAACAGTATATGTATATATAAAAAAAAAATACAATGCCATCAATAAACTATTAATTAAAAGAAGCACAAACATGTATCAATAAAAGTCCTAAAAATGACAAAAGAGATTTTTTTAAATCTTATATACCCATCCCTGAGCCTCTGTTCTGAATATTTAATTTTCGCATTTTATAAGCATTTATATTATTTTATAGTTTAATTTCTATGACATACTTTTTATAACATACACTTATCTAACAAATATTTGATGTACTTACTCGACCTTATGTACCAAAAGCATCAAATTCGATATTTGTTTCGGATTTCAACTATTGCATACTACTATTACTACTACTACTGTTAGTAGTAGTAAACTGGCATAGCGTAATTTTTATGTATTTTACTATGATTTAATTAATATTTCATAAAAGGCAGGCTGGTATACTATGCCTGCATATTAAACTTTGTATTACCTACTTAAATGTGCGTGTTTGTATTTTACAGCGAATAAAATATTTGAAAATCAATGAGTTTTAATACTTTATGTCCTGACTAGCGACCCGCCCTCGCTTCGCTTCGGAAACTGTAATTTATTATTAATTTCTCCACTATTTAATGGATGTTGTTATACTTAGTCTGCCCATAAATACTGTTACAAAGGAAAACAAAAAAAATTCTATGGCAAATAACATTTATAACTTTTACAGTGTGTTAGTTTAATACATAAATATAAAACAATTTAAAGTATAAAAAGCTTATTCGAAGTGGTCTCCATTGGCTGCAATACAGTCCTTTAAACGTTGAGGCCAGCTATCAATAGAAGCACGCACTCTTTTCATGGGAAAAATTTTCACTGCCTATCGTACGGATTGTTTTAGGGACTCCAAATTATCATGGCGTTTAGAGCAAGCCGTAGGCTCTCTAAAACTGACCATAAATCATAATCCAGCGGATTAGGATCGGGACTAGACGACGGCCAGTCTTCAGCTTTGATGAAGTCCGAAACGTTCGTTTCCAACCAAGACTGCGTAGACCGAGCTTTATGACCTGGCGCCGAGTCTTGCTGGAAGGACCATTCTTGATTATTGAACATGGTGTTGTTAAGGGGCTTCACTACCTTCTCAATAATGGTATCTTGATATACTTGTGCCGATGTTTTGATACCTTTTTCACAAAAGTATGGCTCAGTCACTCCTTCATAGCTAATAATACCTCACCAAACCATCACTGAAGTCGGATATTGCCCACGTTGCACTCTGTCGACTAATTGGGAAGCTTCCTTAGAGCTTTGAGCATAAATACGGTCATTTTGTTTGTTAAAATGTTGCTCAATTATAAAAAAATTCTCATCCGTAAACAAAAAATTTTTATGACCTCCCTTTGCTTCAGTAGTTGTTTCGATTTTACCACCCTATTCTCTTTTGAATTATCAGTTAAGAAATGACCAGTATGTCTCTTATAGGCTGCAAGTCCTAAGTCATCTTTTAAAATACGCGACATGGTTCTACATCACATCTTCATCTCCCGAGATAAAATCTTTTGCTTTCGGACAGGATTTCTTCGAATTCTTTCCCTTACTGCTTTGACCACCTTTTTGCACGAACACTACGTGGACGGCCAGATCTTTTTCTGTCACAAACAGAGGAGGTCTTTGAAGTCGTCGTGGCCTAACGGATAAGACGTCCGGTGCATTCGTGTTGAGCGATGCACCGGTGTTCGAATCTCGGGCAGGTACCAATTTTTCTAATGAAATACGTACTCAACAAATGTTCACGATTGACTTCCACGGTGAAGGAATAACATCGTGTAATAAAAATTCAACCCGCAAAATTATAATTTGCGTAATTACTGGTGGTAAGACCTCTTGTGAGTCGGCGCGGGTGGGTACCACCACCCTGCCTATTTCTGCCGTGAAGCAGTAATGCGTTTCGCTTTGAAGGGTGGGGCA